TATAAATAGAGGAAATTAATTTTACTTATTTATTTAAATTGAAAGCAAAAGTATTTCGACACTAAATAGTTAAATAATTAAGGATGACTATAGAATATTTTCTAATTATAATTAAATATAGAAAAATAGTCGAAGTTGGGCTTTACACTGCAGTGGAATTGTTTCCATTTCAAAATTGATCAGCATTGCATTTGATCAGCTGTGCACTTTATGCGTGGACGCCACTGTGCCGCGTCTCGTTCCAATACCCACACACACATACAGATACAGATACAGATACGGCCACAACTACAGTCACACAAGAAGATGTTAAACTGTAGAATAATGTGAGAACGAAAAGCGAAACGCATGATCATTGCGTAAAGTTTTTCTTTTTCATCAAACGCCCGTCGCAGCAGTTGCTGCCGCAGCTGGTGGTGCTGCTGGTGGTGCTGCTGCTGCCGTCGCAACCGCAGGCGACGTGTTCAGCTCTGCGCCGTGTTGTTCCGTTCAGTTCGCTTACAAAACGCCGGTTGGCCGTAACGGCCGCGGATGAACGTGGCCGTATACGGGCCAAAAGCCGAATACGTCTATGTGGTCTCCGGGCGCTCCAGTTGATACCCGAATAGCGTGCAAATGCACTTGCCAATGACGGAGGCAAAGCTAAAGCCAGTGCCCGTACCAGTGGCAGTGGGCGTGGCAAGGGCAGAGGCAACGCCAGGTGCCGCCACACAGACACGCAGCGAACTCTTTGTGCAATTTGTGGGCATGATTTTTGGATTAACCAGCGCCACATTGCGACAGACGGTGAGTACACACACACACACGAACACAAACACAAATAGAAACACAAACACGAAAATTCACATTCCCATAAACAATTTGCTTAATATACGTTAATTATAATTCGGGTTGCCTGGCAGCGTTAAAAGAAAACTGTAAACAAATTAAATGTGCCATGAAATATTTTAGCATTTCAACTAAAAACAAACCAACATAGACAGCAGACACAGATACAGAACACACACTCACACAGACACATCGAAACACACGCTGCTGGCTAATAATTAAATCAAACAGCGCTCTGCAAATGCCTGACAAGCATTTAGCCAAGCAATAAGCGCACCGGATTGCTACAGCTGCAGCTACAACTACAGCTAGATACAGATACGGGTGGAGCAGAAGCTACAGATACAGATACAGATACAGATACAGATACAGATACAGATACAGATACAGATACAGATACAGATACAGATACAGATACAGATACAGATACAGATACAGAAAAAGAAACAGATACAGATACAGATACAGATACAGATACAGATACAGATACATCATGCATGTATCTGCAAATTTCAATGCAAATGCAACAATATTTGCACCTGATTTCAATGCAATACTCGTAGATTGTTTCCATAGCCGCACACGCGCGCGCTTTACAGCACGCTCGCCGTGCCGCCACAGAGAGGTACATTCACACACATAAGCTTAAGCACACTCGCGCACTCACACACACACAGCTCAAAACTTTTTTTAGTTTGAAACAATATTATTTTGCGCCTGCATTTTTATGCGAGACTCGCGCGCAATTCGGGCGCACTTTAATACCGTGCTAAGTACACCTGTGAGAGTGTATGCAAGCCAGTATGTGTGTGGGAGTATGCATGCGTGTGTGTGTGTGCAAGTGTAAAACTTTAATTGGGACATCAAGTGGGCAGCATGCATTGCATTGTAGTGCTGCTGCTGCTGCTCCTCGTCTACCTGCCGCTRCTTTCCAGTTTCCCATTTTCATAATATTTTATTAAATTCTGATTAATTTCGAGAAGCCGTTGGCCCAAAGTGTGCGGCATGCAAAAGTGTTGCATGCTTTTCGGCGCTCTCGCACACGCTGCGAACGCATGCCGTTATGCATAACATTGGCCATTTCGTATGGCTGCGGGCCACAGCTGCGATTCAGCTCAATTAAAACGCATAAATTGCAAATCAACGAGCAAGTACACACACACACGTATGTATCGCATAATTTGAAACATTCTAGCTTAGTTTTATTGCAATTTTATCGCCACTTTTTGTTTTGCCCCAGATTCAATGAGTGCATGAGGTGAGGTAGAAGAAGAAAAATAAAATTGTTTGCTACATTTATTTCATCTTATATGTCAAACAGCTTTACTTTCAAGTATGTTGAAGGATACAATTTCATGTACAGACACATATGAAAAATAATTAAATGTTAATGTGAATTGCACTGAGAATGAGAGCAAGAGAGACAGCAACTAAATGCAGTTACTGCAGGTCAAGCAGTTCTCAAAATTGAGCACATAAATCGTATGCGCTTGGCTGTTTATTCAACTGGAATATGTTCATATGTATATGTATAACAAAACGAGTTATTGACAGAAATGCAGCAGTTCATATGTTATACTTACAATTACAAGAGATTTACATATATAAAATGTAAAGCAGGCAGCAGTTTTTCAAATCAACACCAATATATGTATATAACAGAAAGAGGCATTAAGTTAACATTGAAATAGGAATTGCTGCGAGTCTTCAATGTGAATGTTATACTGGTTAGTGCCACTAGATATAACAGTAGAACTCATATAACAGAGACAAGATCTGTACACTGCCAACAATGTTAGCTATTCACTTAGATTAAAGAACTAACTACACGAATGTTCTACATCTGTTATACAGCAGAACTGTGTCTATGCACATTTGTTATACATATACTGCAAATATGTTAGATGCTTTAACGAGATGTTGTATTCCAGTGCATAGACAGCAAACATGTTAGATATTCCAATAAATGTCACTTTCACATGATGTTTGCTCGTTCAGCACGCTCCCGTGCGTCATTTGCTCTAACTAGACACACACACATACAAACACACTTTCATGCAAGTCTTTTTTTTGCTGTATTCTCCTTTGAGCTGCAACAATTTGATGTGCAGCAATGAGCACAACAAGAATTGGAATTGGAATTATGTTCGTTAACAGACTGCTATTTCCTCATGCTGACCAACACACTCGCACATTCGCATAGCACACAGACAGATGGACGGATGAATGGTTGGAGAGACGGGCAGAGACAGACAGACAGACAGCAGAAATGACGCAAATCTGTATAATGCCATTTGCTCAAAGTTGCTAATTTTATTTGAGGTGACACACAAGGCGGGAATTTGCCTAAGAGTGAAAGAGATGCGAAGAAGAGAGAGAGCGAGCAAAGTAGAGCGACAGAGAATGCAGAATTGGAACTAAGAAAATGAGAATTTTTATGGGGCGTTTGTATGCGTGTGAAAAATATTATTGTAGCATAGCAAAAAAGTGAGCATATTTCAATATTAAGACGTTGTCGCATCTATTTATAAACGACAAAAAATAAAACTGAACAAAACTTAACATATAAAAATAATAATATTTCAGCAACCCAAAAATTAGTTGAAGCTACATTTTTAAATGTGACAGTAGTGAGTAGATCCCTCTTCCTCAATAGATATACTACATATATCTATATATATAAGAATTGGAAAACACGACAGTTGAATATTCATAATATTTTGTAATTTGTTTGTAGCAGCTGTAAAACAAGCCAAAAATAATGAGAATTATAATTACAAAAGATTTGTGTCGCCAAAACGAAACGAAAAATTAAAAAAAAAAAAAAAACAACGAAAATGCAAAGGCAAAGGCAGAATATACATATATGTATATGTAAATATATGTATTTATATCTGATACATATATAAATATTAGCAAGATATAGCAAAATGTGTTCCAGTGGCAACATAATTATATATAAATACTTTCATAATGGAATTTTTTGTTATAAATATAGAGGATGAGACTGTGTGTGTGTTATATATAATTATTTTATGTGGAGCACTGACATTGAAGCAGTTGCTTTTGATTGGAACCATTTGGAATGTGCTTATATACATATACATATATTCTTAGAAGAATGTTTGAATTTTACTTTAAACAAAAGATTTTTCTTGAATGGATTCGTATTCAGGTGTTAGGTGCAAAATTTATATAACAGAGTTAGTTTTGCACTCAACAGTGCAGCAGAATGTAAGCAATGCAGCTGCTGCAGATCAAAGGGTTACAACAGAACGAGATCTTACGTTAACAGTGAGAGTAATGTAAGCAGTGCAGCTGGCTAGACAGCAGATATGTGTCACTGTTAAAGCACAGAAACAGAAGAGACAGTAATATACATGAAACTTTTTATAGCAGTCTACAAATAACAATATATATTTACATAATTTATGTATTTATTCACATATATTCTATATCCATTAATGATTTCTATATCCAAAATGAGTTTAACTTTAAAGGAAATAAAAAATATAAATGCTCTTTTTTATGCCCAGACATAAAACATATATAAAAACAACTTCAAAGAGATTGTGAGAGTCGAGGGCGAGACTTCAATTAAAAATGAATCATAAATAAAATCTGTGCAAACAGCAATAACAATTAAAAGGCTTATAAGATTTGCATGCATGTGAAATCGCATGCAGCATATGAAGAGAGTTCTTGAGGGACCTTGCAAATACGATAAATGTTGCTTGAACAAGTAATATGCGTAATATGCGGGCGGGCAGGCGGATTAAGTTGTCAACGGGGACTCATTCGTGGCAGATGACATGAATATGAATATTTAAAGCTGTAAAAACGGAACTTGATGAGCCGGAAATGAGTCTGTAGGCGCATAACATGCATGCATATATGTATGCAGAGATACATATATACATACATACATATGTAATCATGTGTGTCAGAGCCATAAATAATAAGCTATTTATCAGGGATACATATGTATATTGGATTGGCATAAAATATTACCAATTTATTGAACTAACGAATCTTTTGCATTTGACATTTTAATTACAGAACGAAACAACGAACCACACGATTAACGATATTTAAATTAAGCTACTGATTAGCCACATACATAAATACATATGTATATGCATAATACAAGCTGGGGCTAATTGTTTAGAATCGCAACAATAGAAACAATAAAACCAACAACAATAACAACAACTACGAACAATAAGCCGATTAGCAGCTGCCCACGTCTCGGGCTGAAGTGAAAATTTTAAAATATTTTTTATCAACAATAATTTAAAAGTTTTTCGGAGACAAGCCGGACACAAACAAGCAGCTGGAAGTAGACGAAGAAGAAGAAGAGGCAGAAGAGCTGAAAGCAAAAGCTACCAAGTGAATAAACAAGCTGAAGAAGCGCAGCTCAAGTGAAGACAAGGCAAACAGAGTATAACAGCAGCAGCAGCAGCAGCAGCAGCAGTAACAGCACCAACAACAGCACGCATAACAGCCACAACAACAACACGTACAAAATGGCCGCCATTCAACGCAAACTTGTGCACAAGCAATTCAATTCACCAATGGGCCTCTACTCCCCGGAGAACGTAAAGGCCACACTGAATCGCGAACTGAAGGCCTTCGGGGCCGACGGGTAAGTTAAACGAAATAATTCCCCTTAACGCATTTAAATGCATAATTTCATAGAACGCAAGGGCGGGGCTGAAAGATGAAAGAAAGCCCCATCCTTAAAACAGAAAAGAGTGAAAATAGAAGAGAGTAAAAGCCATAGCAGCAGCAGCAGCAGCAGCAGCAGCAGCAGCAGCAGCAGCAGCAGCAGCAGCAACAGCAAATGATAAAAGCTAAACTAGTAAAAGGGTTTAGGGTTTGCCCAAGTCAACCTTAGTTAGCTGCCATCACGAGGCAGCCTCTGTGGCTATTATATCCACTGTCTAAGGCTGCTGCACAGGTGCACATGAAAGCACATTAATGCAGAGGGTATATGCGAGCACATACATCATATACATATATGTATCACATTAATATATATACCTACATATATAGTGGCTGATATAGCGCAGCTGCGAGGCGCACTTTGTGCACTGCAGCGAGACGGCAGCGTCAGCAGCGGCAGCAGTAGCAGCGCTGCCAGCGACAACTGTTGGCGATTTGTAGCTGCAGTTGCTTTCAATTTGTATCACACACACACGCGCACACGCACACACAGAGAGTGCACAATTAAAAGCGCTTGACTTTTAATTGTAATTACCAAATGCTATACATAAGTAGCAACAGCAGCAACAACAACAACAACAACAACAACAATAAAAGCAGCATCAGCGCGTATCTCAAAGATGCTGTGGACTTGAAATTTGTAGCTGCCGCTGACTTCGCTGCTGCTGCTGCTGTCGCCGCCAAATTGGGCAACAACTACAACATTATCTCTGGCATTGTTGTTAGCAATTGTTGTTGAAATAAACCGGCCTAAACTAAACAGCGCCAAACGCTCTAAGTAGCCTTTCAGTTATACGTTGTCTATGCGTGCGACAAAACGTGTGTGTGCAACAGCTGAAAAGTATCCCAAACAATTGAGTTGAGCTGAATTGAGTTGAGTTGAGTTGGGTTGAATTGAAGTGAAAATTGAAACAGTTTCAGCCTCGAGCAGATACTTTGAGACGCGTTCGCGTGTGCAAACACACAAAAGTTGTATCTGAAGCTGAAGCTGCCAACAGCAACAGCAACAACAGCAATAGCAACAACAACAATCTGCAACAACAACAGCCTTTCACAATGTATGTTAATCGTGTGGCAGGCATCCGTTAGATACTTAGTTAACGTTTTTTATATAATTGTTAAACAATTCACTAACAGTCGATGAGTCACACGCACAGAAATTAATGGGGGAGCTCGTGCAGCAGCAGCAGCAGCAGCAGCAGCAACAGCAACAACAATGTCAACAAACACATTGCAGGCGCCTAGCCAAGAGCTGTGATGCATCTTTTCGTGATCTGGCTGCCGTTGCGCGAGTGACTCATAGTAGATGCCCAACAGCTACAGTGAAGCACAGCTAAAACGAAATGTTTTACAGAATAATGCCAAACTGAATTGAAATGTTTTCTGAAGCAATGGAAAACTCACGCAAAAGTGAATTATCTTTATCAGAGACAAAAGTCTGTTTATTCAATTAGATAAGATATAGATTTACAATAGCTGGCTACAGCGTTAAGAATTTCATTTTATTTTTTTTTTTTCGTTTCTTATAAATTTGCTTTAATAGAACTACATAAAATATAATTTGAATATGATGTGGCATAGATTTCAACTTAAAGCTTTCAATAGGCGCAATACTTTTCCATCACCTTGGTGGTGCAGGGCTTTAGGCAGCACTCGTTGACAACGCCACGCGACAGCCGCCTGGTGGCCAACAGGGTGCTGTGGCGTCCCCTCGGGGACGACCCCCCAAGCGAATCGAAGTCGGCGTCGTCGACGTTGAGCTCCTTTTGAGATTCGACATAGTCAAAGAGATCCACTGCAATGCAGAGATGCGTTAATGCAAATTGCCTGCACGGCTGTGCTCCAATCAAAGCCAATCAGCAGTGGCAACAGCAGCAGCAGCAACTGTTGCTGCTGCCTGCCACACACTGCTGCAACATATACTCACAGGCGCCGCGTTTGTACTGGTGAATAGGCATAAACTTTCCTTTGCAGACGGCATAGATGGTTTCGCTTAGCTGCGAGCCGCACACCTGAATGCTGGACAACGACTCCACGCTGTAAAGCACCGCCAGTAGCAGCAGCAGCAGCAGCAGCGTTTGTTTGCCATTCGCCATTCTGCAATGCCTGAATTTGATCGAATGTGTAAATTGTTGTGCCTGTTTAGATGTTGCACGAGATGTGATGAAGTTGCTCGCAGTGGCAAAGGCTTTTATATCCATGGCGGTTGGCGCGCGCCTGTCAATCTCGATTACTTTTTATTGGTCACAAAGGATTTATGTGGGCTGCTGGCCCCGAATAGGTGGGCAAGCTAGACGTCTGCTTAGTAGTTGTTTATGTGTGGAACACGCAAGCAAAATATATATAAATAGAAATAGTTCCACTTAATAATGACATAATCCTAAATTTGCATTATGAAAATAAAAAATTTAATTGAAAAAAAAAAATAAAAAATTTAATTGTCTTCGACCGTGACAGGACTCGAACCTGCAATCTTCGGATCCGAAGTCCGACGCCTTATCCATTAGGCCACACGGTCTTGTTGAAATGATTCGACTAATCGTACACTTAAGCGGTTCGCAGCGCGGGAAAATGTGTTATTTGTGTATACAGCTTGCAAAGCAGTGCAAACACAGAACAAACAAGCAGTGCATGTGTGATACTCAAACTGTAAGCAGTCGCACCACAACTGTTATGACAGCAATATTTCTAATTATAGATATTGACATAAATATTTTACATATACAAATTTTCTGTATATATAATTATTTATATATTCTGAGAGCTACTTATAGCCATCAAGTATGGGCGCTAAGTACCAGCTGGCGGCTGTTTATTTTGTTTGTTAACTTATTTTATAGAATTATTTAGCTTATCTCTCAAGCTTATCAAACAAAGCTGTTTGCAATAAGCAAAAAACCCGTTTAGTCTAATTGGAATTTTGTGTAGATGAAGAATTTGTGCTTATAAGAAAATATTTGGCATTAGATTAGTTTACATTTTTGTGTAGATGAATTTTAAACAAAGTTTATAAGAAATACTGGATAATCTATTTGGAATTTAATTGGGGTTTTAATTAGAAAGTATTATTTATAGCTTAATTTATTATTTTGTTAAGTATTCATTAAATATTTACAATTTTAGGATCGAAATCGATGAACAAATCACAAAGCCTTTAAACCTGGCCAACTCCGCTGTTCTGCGCGCTGTTGAGGAGGAGGATCAACAAATCAAATGCGGTAGGTGCTATAAATGTGTGTGTGTGTGTGTGAGTGTGTATATATGTGCGTGAGTCTGTATGTGTTTGCCTATACAAAGAACAATGAAAGACCTTGAGCAACATTCAACAAAAACTGCCACGCCCACCAACTACGTCTCTGCAATGTCAAGTGTTCCGTTATGTGTTCAATTTATTCAATTTGATTTGAGTTAAAGCCGAAATTGCTTCATAGGCGACTTTTATGCTCGCCCACGGCAAAGTCGAAGTAGGCAGCGAGGTGGCATTCAGGAGGCGCTGCCGCCGCATCATGCGCCGCATCAGCAGCTGCTGGACCAGATCAAGTCCGAGTATCTGAGCCACCAGCACGATGTGGTCATCGATCGAGAGACGGTGCTGCGCATTAATCGTCTGTCCACGCGGCGGCAGCTGCCCAAGCGCGATCACAGCTGGCCGCCCGCGGAGCAGGAGGCGCTGCACAGCCCCTCGGTGACGCCCTCCATCACGCCCACGCACAGCATCGATGTGCTGCGCCAGAAGTTTAACAGCCCCACGAGAATCGTGGAGCCAACAGCTAGAGAGCTGCGCCAGCAACGCCGACAGCTGGAGCCGAAGCAGCAGCAGCAGCAGCAGCAGCAGAGACCGAGGCAGAGCAGAGCAGATGCCAGCAGCAGCAGGACTCCAGAGGAGTCAGCCAGCCCTTCGCCAGCCACACCACAGGCCAGGGGCTTCTCCGCGCCCGAGACGAAGGCGGCGGATGCGGACCTGGGCCTGGTTGCGCCCAAATGCGAGTACTACGAGCAGCTGACGCAGCAGCGACCCGCCACGCCCACAGCCAAGGTGAGCACGCCCAGCTACCGACCACGTCTGAAGCGCCAATCCTATTCGCTGGACCGTGGACGCGCCCGCAAGCGAGCCGTGGCCTTGGGCGCTGCCACGGAGCTGCCGCCCCCGAAGCCGCGCAATGGGAGTGGCAGCGGCACGCCCAAGGTGCAGAGGCGCAGCATCAAGCTGGCCACCGAGCTGAGGATCAGCTACGACACAGACCACGGCAACGACGGCGACAGCGAGGAGGAGCCCAAGGTCACGCTCGCAGCAGCGGCAGCGGCAGCGGCAGCGGCAGCAACTGCGGCTGACATCGATTTGGAATCGTTGCCGCTGCCCGCCACGCCCAGCGAAAGGGCAGCAGCAGCTGCCGCCGCAATCGCTGCAGCCAAGCTGATGACCCAGACACAGAATGCGAGCTTGCCAAGACAGGGATCCACGTCAATTGACAGCCTGGCACTTAAGCAGCAGCAGCAGATGGCGCTGGCCMTAGCCGCAGCTACGCCCGATGGCCGAGTGCAGAGCGAGCGCATTATTCCGATCACGGTGCTCGCGGAGACACCTCGGCCCGGCCAGCAGGAGGCGAGTGCGCAGGATCCACGCAACGCAATGACGGACGATGCTGCTGCACCGCCAGCCACCTATGTCAGTGCCACCAGTGGCATCAAGCTACAGCGCCAGGACAGCTCCGGCAGATGCAGGACGCAGCTAAGTCGGGCGAGCAGCATACCCACGCCGCCTCCTCTGCCGCCGCCACCAGCGGCTCCGCTGCTGCAGCTGCGCGCCAGGTCGCGGCAGGAGGCGAAGGATATGCAGGCGCGTCGCCAGGGTGGCATCTATGAGCAAGTAGATCCGCAACTGGCCTCCAGCCAGGTCAAACAGCACGAGGCGCATGTGGAGATTGCACAGCTCGAGGCGAAGTATGCCCACATCCAACAGTCCATAGCGGAGCATCTGCGTCAGATCGATGCTTACATGGAGAACGCCAAGACTGCGCTGCAGCGCACAGCGCAGGTTAAGCTAACAGCAGAGCCACCACCAGCAGCACCACCCAAGCCACTCAGCAGCAGCCCCAGCAACAGCAACCACAACGAGCTGTGGGACATGTTCGCATCGAGGCAATCCCCCATTCTGGCTGTGGAGAGTCCTTTGCAGGCCATATTAAGGCAAATTTACTGCCGCGCAGCTGGCATACAGCTGCAGCCCAAGGAGCAGCAGGACAGCCCAGTGCTTCAGCTGGAGCCAGCCGTGCCCGCTGAGAACGTGCCGATAGTGGAGCGTGCTCTGGAGGATCTGCATCGCATTGCCATTGCACTGGATGGCGACGGGCACGTGGAGCATAAGATGACGCCAAAAGCTGACAAGGCACAGCACGTAGTCATCGAGGAGGAAACGGAAGCGGAGACAGAGGCAGAGCAGCAGGAGCTGGAGCTGGAGCAGAGCTCTGACTTTAACCTAGACTACAGACATGTGTCCGATGTAATTGCCAACTATGAACAGCTGTCAGCAGCCACAGCGAATCGGCAGGAGCAGCAGCCCGATAAGAGAAATGCCACACAGCTAGAGGAGCAGCTGGCGGGCAGGGAGCGGAAAGCAGTGAAATGTCAGGAGCAGCATGAATCAAAGAAAGCAGACACTAAGAGTGAAGTAAAATCAATAAGGGAGGCGGAGGAGGAGGCGCTGCAGCAGGAGAAAATATTAAAGGAAATACGCAAGGAGCAGCAAAGGGAAAAGTTGAGGGAGCTGCTACAGAAGCAGGAGAAGCAGTTGAAGGAGCAGGCGGAATTATTAAGGGAGCAGCAGAAGGAGAAGTTAAAGATGGAACAGCAGGAGAAGCTAAAGACGGAACAGCAGGAGCTGTCAAAGATAGAGCAGCAGCAGCAACAGTCGAGTGATCAAGTGGAAGCTAAAAACACTGCCACGCCCAGTTGTCCACATGAGCCCAGCGAGGAGGAGCAGCAGGGCAACTGGTGCGCTGTGTGTGGCGAGTGTCGCGACTCGCCGCACGGCTGGGGCAAGCTCAACAAGGCTGACCAGTGGCGCCTCGACAATCTGCAGAACGAGTCGCTGGCCAACTACAAGTCCACCTATGAGATACGCAGTCCCTACATCTCGCGCCAAATCTCCTGGGAAGATACACAGCAGCAGCAGCAGGGGCAGCAGGAGCAGCAGCCGCAGGGGCAGCAGCAGGACCAGGGGCAATCGAGGGAACCGCTGCAACGGCAGCGCAGTGAGGTGGAGATTGTAACCACGCCAGTTGCAGCCGAACAAGAAGAAGAAGAAGAGACAACACCAACAGCCACACCAGCAACTGCTGCTCTCGCCGAGCCCAAGGAGTGGCAGCTGAGTCGTTCGCCCAGTCCATTGCCCTTGCGCAAGTATCCTGCTCCACTGATTGAGACTGCACAGCGCTGCAGCTCGCCCTTTGGCCTGAATGCAGTGCAGCTCCGATCCTCAACGCCCTCACCCGCCCCACTGGAGGCGAAGTTCGCGCATGTGCCACAGCTGGAGGGTCACAACATTGGACTGCTCGTCCACACGGCCACGGAGCCACTGCAGATGTGCATGTCCGCCTCCTCCAGCATGCTGGCGGCCACTCCGCCGGCCACGCCCCGCTGCAACTCACAGCCGCCGCCCTTCGAGTTTCTCTTGCAGCACGGCCTGGGCGTGGACGCGCAGCGGAATGCACAGCTCACAGGCTTCAAGTCTCTGGCAGGCAGCAGCGAGGAGCTGCCGCGCGAGCGCAGCGTCAATCGATCCTTTGACAATGTCTCGCCACGCCCCTATATGGGCATTGAAGGTGTGTTGCGAATCCTTGTGCTGTCACTGAATCACTGAGTCATTGAGTCATTGAGTGTGGCATGATGCATCTGTGATCTTCGGTTTCTGTGTTCAGTTCCTGTCAAAGTGTTGCAAGCAGTAAATGTCAAACTGTATGACAGTTTGCGAATGAATATAAATGTGATGAATGTATCTTAACTTTGCTCGTTGAAAACTATCTGATGAGAGTGTGATACCCTATTTTATAGAAATATGTCTTGGCTAAAAGCATCTTTATGTCAGAGAAGTATGTGAATGTCAAACTGTACTGCAGCTTAACAGTGAAGCTCCCTGTAAGGACCTACTTAAAGAATGCGTGTTATACAGAAGAATACCCTGTAAAATACAAATATGTTAAAGTGCTTGTGTCAAGTGTGTCAGTGTCTCACTCGAATGTAGTTTGCTATGCAGAAAGTTACCCTGTAATATATAACTTATAGTTTCTATACATATCCAACTATGGATATATTATACTATTTAGTCTGAATCTTCTCTTGCAACTTCTTCTTCTTCAACTACATATATATAGAAATCAACATTTATCGGTCTTTGTAATCCACATACACCCGATCGAAAGTCATTTATCTATCAACCTCAACACCTCTGCTTTAGCATGCCCATGCTCATGCCACTCCCTTGACCTGCAGGGTATACAAAGCATTGTTTCCTCGCCTTGATATAGCACTCAGCTCGTGCTGAGACATCAGCAGACCGTGGCACTTCAAAGCATACTACAATGGCCATGCCTGAAATTCTTGGTCGTATCTACCCAATTGCAGCAGAGATTACTAATTATGCCCAGTTATTTATAGGACTGCTCAAAATTGACAGCAGACAGAAGATCGAAAGAGATTTCGTGAAATAATGACACATTTCAAGCATTTAGCCAGGTGGTTTCAAGGAACAGACTCGCTCGAAAGCAGAACAAGGTGCCGCAGCGCGTCAATGGGTATTGAAATGAAACAAAAACTAACAAACATATATTACCTCACAGTCGATTTGCCACTCGAGTGCCCACTTTTAGATCTACACTTATCTGCGATCCTTGGCAGACCCCAGCGCACATAAATCATGTGCTAAAGCGTGTTTAACAAACGCAAAGACAACGATTTGTTAATGCATATTCAATATGTTGCAGTTCGTCTAGTCTTACATGCTCGCTAATAATTTTAATGAGCCAACATTTGTCGTACACCTGTGCGAATACGTTTAAAAACAGATTTATTTCGCGTATTGTTGGCCATTTAATTTTAGCCAAACCAAACTAGTCAGAGGGCCCAGCACTTGACTCACAGACAGCGCAGACAGTATATATCTATATATATATGTATATAGAGGCTACGCCATGGATTTGGCGACTTGTGGACCGCCCACTTGATTTGGACCGAACATTTATTAAACGTACTGCCAAGTGCCCTGCTGGCGATATGATCTACGATCTATATGCTATAATGGCCCCACGTATTGCTAAGCGATTTATATAATTATATTTCAAACACAACTGAACAATGTATGCAAAATGTCTGTGTGTGTGTGTGTGTGTAGCCTTGCAAAATATTCAAGGTGCGGCACAAATCAAAAATCGAAGGTGTAAACAATGCAGAAGAAAGAGCAGCATCAAGTGCGAGCAGGAGGCAGCGAGGAAGCGCGGAGAGCGGCAGGAGCGGGTGACGGGTGTCTTTAGGCCCAAGCATCATTAACAGCTATTTAATTTGCGTGTATTTAGTGAAGCTCAGGCTGCAGCAACCGCATCGAAGTAGAATTTATTTCTTGCGAAAATTCTCACACTTTCTCTACCTCTTTTTACCTCTCTCTCTCTCTCTCTCGCTCTCTGCCAATTTCTTGGTCTCTTTGTATATGTGAGCTTGTGGGGATTAGCTTTCGGATCGGTTGAATAATTTGCCGAGCGTTTAGCGAGCTGCTCACTTAGTAGCATACATCGAAGGCACACAGATATCGCGCGGCCAACGCGAACGAATTAGCAAATAGATATAGAAATAGAAATTTAATTCAAATTGATTTTTCAACTCTTTTCCCAAACGATCAATAACGAACATCGACCAAAAAATATATAGAAAATTATTCAACGAACCGCGCGCCAGCTGAAATTGTTGTTGCCAATTAATTTGTATATAATTTAAATTTAAATCGAAATTTATTGTGGTGTTCCGACTAAACATTTTTTAATAGAAGCAAGAAACGAAAATCAAAAACCGAAAACCGAAAATCGAAGATCGAGAAGAAAAACCAAAGAATCTTCACTAATCAAACGCATCAATTAATTAAATAGTTATTACATAACGGTTTTCGTGTGTGTATCAGCTAAATCATAATTTGAGTGTGAATTCACACACACCCACACACCCACCCACACAGAGATACAGATACACACTCACACCTACACGCTGTTATTTTATACGCAACAACAAAGTCATAAAAAAGAAAAACAAAGAAGAAGAGCTGCGAAAATATTAAAAAGAAATTTATTTATACGCGCGGCGCCCGATCGTAAATACAGAAGCAACCAACACCTAAGCACAAATTCATAGCAACAGAAACTCAGCTGCAGAATGGGCGCACAGTGGAGACTGATTAACCAGAACTATAAGAATATGGAGGGTAAACATATTGCATACTCATGGTTCAACTTATTCAACTTAATTTTCATTGATTTATTCGGCGAGCAATTGTTGCTGCTGCTGTTGTGGTGTGGCAAGCGAGTCGCAGATGTTGCTGCTGCACCGTCAGACACAACAACAGCAACAGCAATAACTAGATTATCATCAGCATAGCCCTTGCTGCTGTTGCCGTTGTAATTGCATCACATTGCAGGTTACAGCAGCAACACTCAGTCAACATCCATCAGAATTGCTGTTGCAGCTGCTGTAGTTAATATTGCTGCACTTGCAATTAACGACAGCAGCAACAGTAATTGACAACAGCAACATCTCTGCTTTACTTTGTCATTGTCATTTTAATTACTGCTGCTGCTGCTGCTGTAGATGCTGCGATTGCATTCTTATTTACAGCAGCAACAATCAATAACAACAACATGTTGCCTGAAATGCAACTGCAATGTTATTACAATCACTCGCCATAGCAACATGTTGCTGCATATGTGTCATTGCTGCTGTCATTGCAGTTATATTATAGTTAGCAATCAGTCACAGCAGCAACATGTTGCACGAACACCGCCCACGCACACCGCCTGCACGTATGTATGTGTATGTGTCAATGATGTCTTGGTGATGATTGCTATTGCAGCTGTTGTTGCAATCAATCACTGACGGCAGCAACAGTCGGTGCCAAACAGCAACATGTTGCAGCAACAGCAGCAACGCAGCTGTCAATAGCTCATGCTGTTGTTGCTGCTGTTAATGTGCCTCTCAACTACAGCAGCAACATGCTGCACAAACAACACCCACACATGCCTCCACGTATGTGTCAATTCTATCATCGTCACAGCTGCTCTTGTTGTTGCTGTTGTTGTTGTTGCTGTTGCCGCGCTGCTGCAAATTCTTTGTTTTTGAATCGTCAGCTAAATTTAGACACAATGACAACAGACAACAGCGTATGATTTGCAATTTGAATTCGAAAAGTCTGGCACTCTTCGCCTCGCCTGCTAGATGTTTCGTTTATTTATTTTGTACACTTTTAATTGGCTTAAATCATTTTCAAATTGTTTGTCCTGCACTGAGCCATCGAGAATCTTTAATATTTGCCCAAACACCTCTGTATCTCTCTCCCTCTCTCTCTCTCTCTCTCTCTTACACTCTCTTTGTCTTCTATTTGTGTGTGCATCTCCAAGGCCAGCGACGCCCACGTCAGTGCGCGTGTTGGCCGCATTTTGTTGAATGTTGAATGTCTTTTTGTCTTTTCATTTTTTTTTTTTTTTTTTTTTTTTTTTGGCGACCCACACATACAGTCGCCGCCCACCCAACTGCATATTTGATATACAGCAATGAACATGGTCTTTTTAATTCATGTGCCCCCCGTTTTCCCGCCCGCAGGTTACAAGCGCGTCGCCTGGCCGCCAGCCTCCGAGGAGCGCATCGTGCGCGAGTTCACGCCGCAGTCGCAGACGCAAAGCCCGGCGCCAGGCAGCGGTGGCTACTACCCACAGCCAGCTGCCAGCCAGGCAGCCAGCGCGAATGCTGCTCCAGCTCAGGTAATTGTGCCAGCACAGCTGCCAGCCTCACTAAGACTAGTGATTGTATATAAATATATCTCACTCTAGTGTATATATAGCTAATCTGTGTAAATACTGTGTAAATTGTAAATATAACTGTTAATCTGTCTGCAATTGTCATTGGGTATCTGGTGAGGCATTACTGTATATATACACACACACCTACACACTTACAGCAACCCACCCACCCACTCAGCTAACAAAGAATACTCACTACACACTTGCAGGGTCCCATTTATAACAACGTTCAACCACGAACCCAGCAACACCCACAACCAAAGCCACAACCACAACAACAACAGCGAAACCCGCCACACCAGCAGCCCACTCAAAATGTTTATGGTCCAGCCACTAATTATGCGGCAGCAGCAACAGTTGCTGCTGCTGCCGCCCCAGCTAATACCTATAACTATCCACAACAACCCATCCAATACACACAGGCCCAGTTCAATAGACAACGCTCGCGGGAGCCAACAGTCGAAGCTCAGTACCCATCGTACCCACAGCAACAGCAACAGCAACAGCAGCAGCAACAGTTGCCCCCGCAGCAGCAGCAGCAACAATACCAACCGTCTTACCAACAGCAGCAACAGCAGCCGCTTCAGACCGTAAACAACGTTGGTGGAGGCTGGAAGCATATTGGTCCACCAAAGCCCAAGACGCACAGAGATTTCGTTGCTGGCGGCGTTGCGCCCTACCAGCAACAGCAGCAGCAACAGCAGCAACAATATCAACAGCAGGTACCGTTTGCCTGAATGGATTTATAGCCTGGCTTTGGCTCCCGATGCAAGAAACTTTTGCTGCTGCTGTCTATCTACAACACCCACACATACAATAGAAAGTTGAAATCCCCTTGCTAGGCTACTAACTGCTTAATGAACGCGTTTATGCGTGTCGGCAAATACCTGAGCTGACGCCAGAACTTTACAAGAAAGTTGGAGTTGAAGTAAGGCTTGAGCCATTCAGTCTTACTCCAATCAGATTTCTGTATCAGTTCTCGTAGCTTGCCGCAGGCTTAAGCTCTAATACTGTTTTGTTGACTATATGTTCCTATAAATTCCTCTAGACATACACATACATACCTACCTATGCGTTCCTTGTAGCAAGCATATCTCTCTCTCTCTCTCACTCTTTCTCTATTCTCTGCTCTGCTTTCTCTATGCAAATTTCAGCTGTAAACTGCGACACGCTTCTAATGCTAAACGATTTACTTAATTACGAACTCCTCGACCACGCCTAGCCGTTAGCTAATTTACTTGACACACCTTTAACACACCTGTCCTAATTGTCTCTCTTATCTCTCTTTACTCCGGTGTCTGTTTACTCTGATTGTTTGTGTAAATGTTTAACTATTGCACTTGCACCCAAACCACCAACAACATCCATAACCTCTGTCTCGATTGGCACCTGAAACTCCATGACTCGCATGCACCACCACTGAATACCACCACAGCAGCAACCACCACAGCAACAATATGGTGCACCGTCCTACAACAACTATCAGCAGCAGCAGCAGCAGCAACCGCAGCAGCAGTGGCAGCAGCAACAGCAGCAGCAGCACCAGCAGCAGCCGCAGCAGCAACAATATCAGGCTCCTTATCAGACGTCGCCATACCAACAGCAACAAAACTATCCACAGCAAAATGGTGGTGCTAACTATGCTCAACCACAATACAATTCTTATTCGCAGCCACAGCAGCAGCAGCAGCCGCAGCAGCAACAACAACAGCAGGTGCCCTACTCGCTGGATCAGACTGATCAGCATGGTTATCGTGGCGCCAGTCCTGGCATCATAACGCTGCGCAAGGAGGCGCCCGTCTCCCAGAAGCCAGCGCCAGTCTACACTTCGCAGCCTGCCGCCGTCAGCTATCGAGGTGAGCATCAGCAGGAGGAGGAGCAGGAAGAGGAGCGCCAACTGGACTAATCTCATTATCTCTCTCTTTGCAGGAGGCAGCAAATTGCGCGGAGATTTGAAATGGCCACCACAGGAGTACAAGGAAGCTGCTGTACGCGAAAACGAGGAACGTCGCCTGTTGGCGCTGGGCCCCGTTTGCCGTCCCCGTAGAGTCAATCGTGTAAGTGAAGAATGCTAGAGATGGAAAGTAATATAGGTGCAACTCTGGGTCCATAGAGCTTCCAGTTAACCTCTATGATATTTATATAATTATTATCACCACTTGCTTGCCTCTCTTCCTTGTCAAACAGGACTACACGCCCTTCTTTGCCAAGCATCAGCTGAACCACTCTTATCCCAGCTATAAGGTGCCACCCGGCACTCAGCACATATTCGGAGCCTAAGAAGGGGATCACGCAGAGCTCATCAAGCAAACGGAAAATGCAAATTGTTATCAATGGAACCCACATCATATAATACTAAAAACGATCATGTATATGTTACTAAAACGACGACTAACGAATCAAAGCAAAAAACTATATGTATTTTGTTATACTAATTTTAAAACTTAACTAACCCACAGTCAACTTTATATACGTATGTATCTATCTATCTATCTATCTATCTATCTATCTATCTATCTATCAATCTATCTATTTATCATTATGTATATGAATATGCCAAAACGAAACGAATATCAGGGTACGAAGTACGCCCATTACTTCTCTAAACACGTAGGAGCTCATATATCGTCAACATTGAGCAGACGTAACTCGATATATGGGCGCTGTATGCAGACAGCATATGGATATAGTATATTGGAGCATAGATACAAACCTTTATGTTGCCAATTGTTTATCACTTAAGTTGAGACCTAGCAAATGAAACGGATATGATATGGAAAATGAAACCTTGTTATAATTATTAATGTTAAACAACACAAAACGAACTAACATATTTATAAATTTATCTATTTATATACTCTATAGACCGTGCGAGCAGTCACGCCTGGAACAGGTCGAAGAGACCTTTGGCCTAAGACTCTATACTTCTGGCTAAAATTGTAAATGGAATCGATAGAGCCCTATTTATAGAGTCTTCAGCTTAGGTTTGCGTTGGGCTTGACTCTGGGCGCTGCTTCGCATTGAGTTTTATTGTTAAAATAGTTTGAGTTTGCATGATTTTTTGTGAATATTATTTTGTTCTATATATACATATATATTACGAATTTATTGTTAACGAGCATATATAAAAAATGTCGATAGTCAGTGAAGTTCGATGGTTCAGTGAGTTTATCAGATATATATATATATACATACATACATACTCTAAGAAAAATGGAATATGTAACTAATTATGTCGCCGGGCGACTCGGACAGGTCCGCATAGCAGTTCGCTCTCGGCCGGCAGGTGAACAAATGAGGATGCCTTTGCCTGCTTCACTAGTGCGGGGAGTTCTAGAACTTTGTGCGCGACCTGGTTTGCCGCTCGGACGACCTTCTATAATGAAAGAAACACCCAGACTTACCCAAAAAGAAACAAAAATCAAAACCAATTATGTCGAATCAATCAAATGGACTTAACCTTACATATACAAATTGATGTATATTCAAATATCTATATATACAAAGAGAAGAAAAAAAAAAAAAAAAAACAATGAAATAAAATATAAATAAATGGCAAGTTTCTGAATACTCGCAACGAGAGAAGAAATCGGCTTCTGATTATGTGTTTTCTTTAAGGGAATTTGAGGAATGTGGGGGGTTGGCTGCCTAGTTCTTGGTCACGATATGTGAGCCCATAGAGCCAAATATGAATACACAATTTAGTTTACTCCCATAAGTTAAGTTAGCAGAGTTAAGGTATCTGCTAGTCGAGCATTGCCATTGAAAAGTCATGATATGTGATTTTTACAAAGGATTTCACATTGCTCTTTATTGAAACTTTCGCATCGCATTGCTAAAAACTATTATATTCACACAATAATCGTAATCGTAACTATCATAGTTTGTTATAATAATAGTACATATTGTTTTTTTTTAATAAATAACTAAACGTAAGGCCAAATCAATTTCAACTTCAATTTCATTCTCAAGACTCCAACGCGATTTTCCTCATTCGGCTTACATTCTTATCATTATTTACTTTTCTTTTGTGGCACTTTTGTGTGTGTGTGTGTATATATATGTTTGTGTGTGATGAGAAATTAAATTTCCACTTATCGAAAATTAAATGCATATGAATGCGTTCTGCTTGGAGTTTTGGACTAAGATTTGAGTTCAGTTATTCGATTGAGAACAAATCGTAGATCAGATCAAAGAAACATTCGACTATATATAACGCTACCAATTTATATATATGTATATTTACTCGTATATTAGTTTATAATGTGCACTTTAGTTGTAAAATATCCAGCAGCGTAATTTCATTAGATTTCTATTTCATTTGCAATATATATTTTCATTGATGGAAAGCACAATTTAGCGCCGGCTGCGATTTGAAACATACGAACGTTACCCGACCCGCTGGGTAAATTGTAAATGTAAATGTAAATCAATTCAATTCATCACGTAGCAATAAATTAAGTTTCGGATGAGCAGCCAACGCGGACAACGATAAACATCAACAATTAACGCCAGTTAGAACCCTGTTTGATATTGTTTTATACGTATTGCTATTAATTGTGGGATGGCTCCAGCTCCATGTTGTTGGTACTGGTATTGCTGGCATTGGTGGACGCGGATGTGGTTGCTTTTGGACTTGGCTTTTGGTTTGAGCAGCTCGCATAGCTGGCGGAACTGGAGGCCTCGATGGAGCCAGACGCTACATCATTATCCTCATCATCATCATCGTCCTCCTCCTGAATCAATTTGCGAGCCAATTTAACTGCCTCGAATTCGCGATAATGCGCTTTGCGACGCCTCTCGAATTCACGACGCCGTTCTGTAATAAGACACAAATATTTTAGAGAAATATGTGGGCATTGTTTATATATGTATCGTATTTCATATTACGTCGCTCCTCTTCGCTAATGGGCTGATCATCGCCGGAAGACCCTTCATCGTCAATGCTTTGGGAAGTCTGTTGTGAGCTGGCAGCAATACGTAGTCTGTAACGAGATATAAATATACAGAATCAGGTAACGCCCGTCAGGGGTATGGATATTTGATATACTTCTCGACCAGCAGCTCGGTGTCCAGCTCGTCTTTGTTCTCATTAAATGGCTCCGTGTAGTTGTAGGGTGTTTTTGGCTCATCGATTTTCATATGTCCGTAATCCTTGTCGACTGGATGAAATGTTTGCAGCACATTTAGCTCATCGAACTTGGCACTTTTGCGAAAACTGCGAGCATTGCGAAAAAAAAAATTAAATAGCGAATTCAGTTTAGCCCTTTTGGCTAATCTAAAAGGTCAGAGTTGATAGCGCTCACCTGGCGCCCGACTTGTCAAAGCTGCGCGAAGTCTTTAAAATGCCCTTGCATGGTAACTGTGGACTGGGATTGTTTTGCATTCTAACTCCGGTAGGTGGATCTCAGAAACGGGTTGGCTGCAATAGAAAGCACACAAATTGAAAGTTTTAACACATTTGCATATGCACATTACGTCAATCTGACGATTTACGACGCGGATGAATCACGGCCCGGCTCATAGTGCTTGCGAAAACAAGATCCATGGCATTAAGGTCTTAAAATTTGCTGAATTGTTGAATGACAATTCGCGGCACTTACGACACCTTGCAGCGGCGCGCCGTGGCTGCCCTTGACGCATGGGGGGTCGCATGTGACCCACCCAACCACCCGCTGGGCAGATGCCACCCACACGGACTGTTTGCTGTCGTTGCGGCTGCCGTAGCCGTTGCCGTAGCATGTGGCAATGCGACGCCCGTTGCTGACTGCATCTGTTATTAGCTTATGGCCCAACGCACACTTTTACTTCTGTATTTTGGCAAACTTACTTTGATTTAGTATTATTTAAGCAATGCGGCAGCTGTATTAAATTGCAATGCAATTTACGTCTCGAAATTGCTGACTTGAAAGCGCATTTAAATCGCACGTGGTCTCGTTTAAAAAGCTCTGTGCCTAACTTAATTTTGATGTTGTAAACGTACTTAAAACGCGCGCTATTAATTTTACCAAATTAGCGCTTTTCAATTTTGATTATTTTATCTATTTCTATTTGTATTTATGAGTGCGTCTGCTGAAAGGCGCTGTTAACTTACTGTGGGGTGCTGTTAGTTAACAGTCGACTGTTGCTGTTAGCACACAATGTTATTGCCAAGTGCTAGAGATGGTCGATATTTATGTATCTGTTGACGCAATTTCAATGAGTCACAATTTTTATAAACGTATGAAAATAATATTTACTTTAATAAATGTAATTTCGTACCATTTTTAAATCAAACATTTTAATAAATAGTGCAAAATCTGTGAAGGTTTCTGTTATTTTGCGCTGGCTCATCACTAACAGCAGTTGGCGCACTTTATTGCTCCTGTTAGATAGCATTCAAAATAGCTACGCATTGTTAACCCTTATGTAGTTCCAAGGGGCTAATCTTTAATACAAACCAGAATGATATTAATTAAGTTAAAGTGTATTTGTATAATATTAATACAAATTAGATTTTATTGTTAATATATTTTATAGTATATAATTGATCCATAATCTTATTATCTTAGCCTTTTTCAGGCTAGAAATAGCCATGTCTACCGCACAGTCTGTCTCTCCGTCTCTCTGTATGCCTAACAAAAGCAATGAACGTAGAAGAATTAAAGATCATTTACGTTGCCTACATGTATGCAGCAGTATTCATTTGGTATTTGTGTTTGAGTAAAACGAAGCTAGAATGCTTGCAGCAGCAGAGAGTGTTCCCATTGGTCACTTAAAGCTCGACTGCAATAACTTCTCCCTGACACTGAGCTCAACATTTGAGAGAGACCTAGGCTTTGAGTGAAAGTCGCCCTATATAAAGGGCAGCAGCTGTAGCATTTCTTCAGTCGCTTAGTGGGGGTCAGTGTAGTGAAGTGCAGTAAAGTGTGGTGAAGAGAAGAGATGACTTGAGGAAATACTTAGACGAAATTCTTGGAGGTAACACTTGCAATTAACACTTAGAAGAAATTCTTGCATACTTAGAGGAAATACTTGAAGTAATTATAATTTTTAAATATATTTGCTATATTTTGTATGTTTTCTTCCATTTTTCATCTAGCTCGCTATTCCAGCATGTTTTCCTACATTTTACCCCGGTTAGCCCACATTTATCCACAATCCAACTTATGTCGGAGCTCAACAGCTGGCAACACTGTGATAAGATTCTTAACAACAACATGTTTCTAGGGAAACACTAATCTATACACAGATTAGCTCGAATACTTGCCTTTGTTTCTTATCATATTAGACTAATAGAGTTTCACCTGCTAAAATTGCATTTTGACCAATTTGGGTTTGATCGATATGTCAGTATGCAACTGATTACCATGAGCATTACAAAGGAATTCGCCGGAGTACGTCCGTTGCCAGCGGAACTTCAACGTAAAGCTATTGATGAACTGAACGAGGTGCCGGATCGTGTCCTCTCGGATATTGCTGCTCTACGGGAATGGCTGCTGAAGCAGCCGCATCTCTGCTCCTGCCTCTCGGATCAGTTCCTGCTGAGCTTTCTGCGTGGTAGCAAATTCAGCTTGGAGAAGGCCAAGCACAAGATTGATCGGTATTACACGCTGCAGGCTAGCATACCTGAGGTGTTCAATGAGCATCGTTTAGCCGATGATGCTCAGGTGCTGGAAATCATTCGGATGGGGTAGACAAGCAAAAGTCTCTAAAATAGATCGCCCAAATAAAGTTTTCTGTTTAAAGTGTTATTCTAAGGATACCCTTGGATGTGGGCGACACCGGTCCCGCTGTGACCATCATTCGTGCCGGGTCTTACGACACGCAGAAGTTCAAGTTCCAGGACATCATTCGAGTGGGCTCCATGTTTGGTGAGATCATGATGCTGGAAGACGACAATGCGAATGTCAGCGGCTATATCGAGATCATGGACATGGCAGGAGTAACCGCTGCCCACCTGTTTGCACTGCAGCCACAGCTGCTCAGCAAGTTCTCAGCCTTTGCGGATGAGGCCATGCCCACGCGGCAGAAGGGGATTCACTTCATTAATGTGCCGACGTCGTTTGAAAGCGGTTTCAATTCGCTGCGTGCCTTCTTTCCTGCGAAGATTAAGAATCGGGTGAGTCAGATCCATGAGATTAGATATTCATTTATTTTATGATACTCTTTGTAGGTTTCCGTCAGCTCCGATCCGGAGGCGATCTTTGAGTGCGTTAAACGCGACTATTTGCCGCAGGAGTACGGAGGCAGCAGAGGTACTATGCAGGACATAATTGGGCAAATGGAGTCCAAAATGCTGAGCTACCGGGAATACTTCGAGCAATCGCATCTCTTTGGCAGCAACGAAAAGCTGAGGGACGATAGTGCCGCCAATATAGACTGCCAGAGTTACTTCGGCCTGGATGGCTCATTTCGCATGTTAGATATCGATTGATAAACTCTAAATTTGATTAACTATAAATAGCCAATAAATTGATTTGACTTTGATTAACTTTCACTCTCTGCCCTTCCGCCACTTACGTTGTTTCTTATCTAATCAATCATGTTAATTCGAGCAATACTTATTGATTTATATTCCACATAGACCTCCATTTCTGCTCTAGCTGTCAGATCTGCTCCACATGCTCTCCATACGTGCACTAAATCCTGCCTGCTGTACATTATATATTTATAGATAGCTATAAATCTATATCAAATCGATTTTTCGTTATTAACTCTTAATAATCTATCAAATTTAACAAGCACTGCTATGACATATTAAGAGATCTCTATGAAAACTTTACTACCTATTACCATAACATCGAAAGAGAAACTGCACTCAATTTCCTTTGTCTGAGATCAGCTGCTGGTCGTAGCTCATGTTCTCGGGAGAGCAAGTGAACTGCGCGCAGTGCCAAAAAGTAAACAAAAAGTATTCCAAAATATTCAGAATAGAAGAACTACAAGCAACTAAAATAAACCACTCGCCGATCGGCGATCGCTGCTGATCAGAGAAATAGTTCAGTAATCTTTGGAGAGTCGTCGGGATCGCTACGCAGTGTCGAGACGCAACGGTGCTCACAAAACAGAAATGAATTGACTGCTGGTAGTGCTTGGAGTGAAAAGAGAAATATATAAAGTGCGGTACGGTTCAAGAAAATTTGGCATACATAAATGTAAATGATGCCTTCAGCACTCAACAGGCAACAAGTTCATTAAATTTCAACAGATAATTGCCCATTAAGGAAATCAAATGAAATCAATGAAACTAATTATTTAGACATCTTAAACACATATGTAGCTACATACGTCTCTCTCATCATCAAGTTCTGTATAAATACATATAGATATGTATGTATATATAGATGTGCATATGGCTCATCTGTCTGGCTAGTATTTGGACTATGAAAAGTAAAAATTTCTTAGCAGCTTGCCCTGCTTGGTTGGCTCTGTCCGTCTGTCCGTCTGTCCGCCTGTCCAACCATCCATCTGTCTGTGCTGGCAGTGCTGATGAGATTGATGTTGTTGCCCAAAATAGTTTCCATAAAACACGGCCGCAAGTTTGCGTCCCTCCCAAACCACTTACCCGACCTTGCGAGGCCGTCGGTGCGAGTCGACTAAATAAATATTTAGACAAATCTTAATGAACATGTGTGAGATTTGGGATTTCCCATTCCCATTCCTCTTCTTGGCCCACCTGTAATTGTAAATTGTTGCCTCAACCGTGCCTTGCCCTGATCTCTGATTTATATACCCTCCCACTGCAAATATAGGGTATTCGCACTGATTGTAGCGCATTAATTAGTCGACTTTGTCACTCAGTGCTCTTTTCTCAAATTCCGATTCACAATTTCCTAATTTGTGCGCAGCGAACCGCGAAATTGGCCAAGGGAAGACGCATAGCCCTCTGGGTGCATCAGCATGTCGAGCAGGCGAGCCCAGTCCTTGCCGCCGCACATGTTGGAGCCGGTGAAGCCGGAGCGTGGACGCTGTGTGACTGCCATCTGCGTTTCGTGGAAGGTGTTCAGCTGCATCGTCTCCCATGTACTGCTCGTGCTGCTCGTCGTCTCGTATTGTGTGGGCGGCGCCTATTTGTTTCAGCACCTCGAACGGCCGCACGAAATTGAGGTGAGAGACTGCTTTGGCAATTCCGATTCCACAAGAGAGTTAGTTATCCAACAGCACTGCCCGAGCAGGTCAAGCGGGACATACGGAACCTGCGCTTCAATCTCACCGAGCGCATTTGGCTGCTCTCCGACGATGCGGTCGTGCTGCGCGAGAGCGATTGGATGGCGAATGTGAGCAAGCACCTGGCCAACTTTGAGAAGCAAATCATGACGGCCATCAAGACAGACGGCTGGGATGGCGACGAGGATCTGCTCAAATCGCAATGGACCTTCGCCGGCTCCCTCTTCTACTCCATCATAGTCATAACCACGATCGGTGAGTGTTCCACAGAATTTTATTCGCATTAAACGTAAATCTAATCCTAAGCACTAAACTCTATGAGAGGGAGAATTGCTACTAGATCTTGCTCTATCTAGCTCTAGATCTTCTTATTTAGCTTATCATTTACTGCCGCTGGCTTGATGGACACGCTTTTGGCATTCTTGCCCTCGGCCACGGCGGGCGACTTCTCGTCATAGCCGAAACCCGCATAGTTGCCACCAAATCCTGTGGGTGGCAGACCCGGCGGCCCGAAGTTGGCCAGGCCGTAGCCTTCAGTGTACTGTGGTCCGGCGTACTGATTGGATGGGTATTGGCCCAGTCCTGGATATTGACCGCCTTGTGCTCCATACTGATTGGTGTTGTAGTTAGAGCCTGGATAAGAGCCAAACGGATATTGATTGCCAGCGCCAGCAAACTGACCCAAGCCGCCGACGCCGCCCAGCTGTCCACCGGGCTGGCCTGGGAAGGCTGAGTTTAAACCTGGATAAGCTGCTCCGCCAGCGCCCAGTCCTGGATAGGCAGTGCCTCCAGCGCCCAGTCCTGGATAGCCTCCTAGTCCAGCGCCCAGTCCTGGATAGCCCGCACCGGCGCCCGCGTTTCCGAATCCACCAGGATAGCTGCCTGCTCCTAATCCATTCTGTGCACCCCCGAATCCAGGCTGGTAGACATTGGGATTTACAGGTGGTCTGCCTATAATGCCCGTAGGTCCTCCCGGGCCGACCAGCACACCTGGACTGCCACCTCCAAAGCCGCCAAGTCCTGCAAACTGGCCTCCAATAGCTGGCTGCCCACCAAATCCGCCATAGGGATTGCCACTGGGATAGGGATTGTATTGGCGGGTGCCCACATTGGGCGGCGTGGTCACTGTGGGCTCCACATCCACATAGTCCTCGATGTCATCGTTCTCCGGCTCGCCAGGCAGCGGTCGCCGTGTTGTCGGCTCGCGTCTCAGCTGATTTTGGCTGGGCTTTCGTAGAGAGCCACTGCGATCGATGTCCTTGTCGTGGAAGGCGCGCTCCCTTCTGCTGTAGGTGCGCCACACCCAGTGATCCTCCGCCGATCTTGCGGACACAATGGCCAGCTGGCAGATGATGCTGGCAGCCAGCAACACGATGAGGCAATGTTTTCGCATGCTTTTGCAGTTGACCGCGATTCAATGGGAGCTCTGATTATATCGTTATGACTCTGCTTGGTTCACACACTGACCCGTATTTCTCGTATAACGCTGCGCACAGAATAATTCGGCAATGCGAGCGGCACACGCTACTTATATAACAATGGGCCAGCGACAGCAACGACAAGCATAACGACGACGCACTAAAGTCACTCGAGTGTGGCTGGGCGAGGACGGCGCATGGACGGGCACAGTGGGACCAGCCACTACCATTGCCATTAACCAGCGATCAGCATATGATCAGGCCCACTGTGCCGTACTGCAAACAGCTAATGAATCAACGCAAACAAGCCAGACAGAGCAGACAGAGAAGACAGAGCAGCCAGATCGCAGCAGAGGCAGACAAGACACGCCGTATTTAACAGCGATCAGCGATCGGCTTTGATCGGCGAGCACGCAGCCCACGTATTTAGCATTGATTCATCCATGCCCAAGAGACTGCCAAACCGCAAATAAAAAACCTATAAGTGATCGCCGATCAGTGATCAGTGATCTGCACTCGGTGTTCTGTGTGGTCACTGTGATCCGCCCAGGAACTGCTGCAATCGATTGAGACATGTCCACAATGATCACGTAGTAATCGCATAAATATTGAAATCGCTTTGTGACCGATCGTTAGACTCCATGAAGGGTACCTTTGGATGATTACAAAACATTTTCCTGGAAATGAAATTGAGTTCACAAATGAGTTTACAAAATTTTACAGCTCAGTTTAATGCCAGAATTTGTGGAGTATAATTAGAGTTCATTTATTGATCAAGCCCGGATTTGGTGCAGCGGCAATTGCCTTATCATTCAGATCGTGCAGCATATGGCATCGTTTTATTTTTGTGTGTTTTTTCGGCTACACTTTGCTGCACACAGGTTGATTGGCCCACTGAACGTCCACGTGAATGACCTCTAAAATAGTTTCAGAACTTGATTGCATGGAAGGGGGTGAGACAGGAAATATCCAACGAAATCAAAAGTTAGAATCATTTTTCACAAAATACATACAAAACAAACGCAAGGTCAAACGCGATTGACCGAAGATGAGTTTTAGATTTTAGATTGATGGTGGGAACTCTTTCAGGCAGTATACCCAATATGGATCTGGCATTAAACAACTTGCCTTTAGCTTCCATGGGTTTAATGACCGACGTCTGTTTGGTCTAAGCCAACGCCGCACCCACTGCCCATCAGCCGTGGCGTCTATGCGAATGCAAACACTTCCGCAGCGCCGCCAGAGCTAGCGGCGAAACTTGAAAAGCCCATTTCGTACTTGCGTGGGGGAGACGGTAATAGATTAGCTTCCTAAAAGCAGGTCGATTAGGCACGTTGTGCCCATTAGCATGCCCAGAAATTTTACAATTTGCCAATTCGCAAGCGAATAGATAATAATATCTAGAGTTCAAGGCACAACTAAAGATAAACTCATGTTGTTTATATGTTTTGAAGGCAACTTAATCAAGTTGGCCATAAAGAAATCCCTCTGCCTGCCCCTCCCTTAATCAATGCCTTACCCATTTTTAAATGAAGCATATTCCACATAGATTGTCGCATTAAAAATGTTTTGTTTTGGTCTTGCTCATTCACATGTAACATGATTGGCTGTAACCCCGACTCCGATTCTGGACAGGCTATGGCCACATATCACCGCGCACAGATTGGGGCAAGGTGACAACGATCTTCTACGCCATCGTGGGCATCCCATTGATGCTGCTCTGTCTGTCAAACATTGGAGATGTGATGGCCACATCGTTTCGGTGAGTTCAACGTGCTCACAGTGCTGTAGCTCGCGTGTCCATTGTTCACCTCATGTTCATTGTTCAACCGTCATGCAGGTTTCTCTATTGGCGCATCTGCTGCTATGTGTGCACTCGATCGGCCAGGCGTTCCAGGAACCGACGCTCGAGGCAAAGATCAATTCGTATGCGTTCGCAGCGCGTTACGTCCCGATCTCAGCCGCCGCCGACGTTCAGGCGTTCCATGAAGATGACGCAGCGCTCCAACAATGATTCTGGACTGGGCCCTTCCTTGGGTCACGCCTACTCGGACCCAGAGCTACGCACGATTGGCAGGAACTACGATGATCGTGATCGCGACTTTGGCGGCGGGGGCGGCTATCGGGGCAGTGGAGGACGATCACGTCGCCAACAGTTATACCACGTGCCGCTGCAGCATGAGCCTCGCAAGCGTCACACCATCTACGGGGATGAGTACGAGCCACAGACGCTGAATCGAGCCAATCGCTACAGCAGCCGGCAGCGACAGCGGGACAGAATGCGGGATCGGCACACTGTGGAGCGCGAGCGTTACCTGGGCCACTCGAGAAACCACATACATGGCTCCATCGATGACTTCAGCGACATGCAGCCACCGGCCAAACGGGCAGCGAGTGTGCGCTCGGTTCGCTCACCTCAGCAGCAGGAGACGCGCGCCTCGCGAGAGCTGGATCGCTTGCATTCGGTTCCGGGTCGTGGGCGGGCCAAAAGTGTGGATCCGCGGCATAGTCACGCCTCCTCACACTACGAAGACGTGGATGAGGATGTGGTTCGCAAGACGCCCATCATACACAATCGTTATGCGCTGGAGGATGACGAGTTGGTCAATAGCAGGCAGCAATCTCGCAATGCTCCGCGTAGCCAATCGATGCCCAGGTCGGCCCATCGTCAACGCCAACGTCAAAGGGAACTGGAGCGAGAGCATTCGCCGCAGCCACCTTCGCACCACCACCACCACCACCAACATCATCAACAACAACAGCTACGACCCAATGGACGACGTGCTGGCAGTCTGGGCCGTCAGTCCTCACGATATGGCAATCATCTCGAGCCGCCCGACTACGATCCGGCCCCATCGCAACGACAGCGGCGCGCTCGTTCGCCGCGCTACGCAGACTATGTGGAGGAGAGCTTTGACGAGCTGTCCATGTGCGAAGACAACGGCCTGTACGAGGATTATCCAGTGCGTCATGGCTCCCGCAATCGAGAGAGAGAGCCGCGCCGCGAGCGTCGTCGCGAACGTCGACTGCCGCCCTCCCCACGTATCATGTCGCCCATGGGCTTTCCCGTGCAGCGCCAGATCAGGCGGCGTCCCAGCTACGACTACGACGAGGAGGACTCAATGTACGGCGATGACTATGGCGACGACATGGTGCCCAAAGATCGGCCAGTGCCCATCTGGCTATGCGTCTTTCTGGTTGTCAGCTATATACTGGGCGGTGCTGCGCTCTTTAACGCCTGGGAGACCTGGTCGTTCCTGGACTCTGCCTACTTTTGCTTCATCACGTTGACCACAATAGGTGAGCGCTCGCTGATCATTAATCTATATTCCAATAACTCGCATTACATTTCCTACAGGATTCGGTGACTTTGTGCCCGACAAGGGCGTGAAGGACGAGTCGCAGCAGTCCATTGCCTACTGCTCGCTGTATCTGCTCTTTGGCATCGCGCTGCTGGCCATGAGCTTCAATCTGGTGCAGGAGGAGTTCATAGCCAATGTTAAGGAAGTGGCACGGCGCCTGGGCATACTCAAGGATGATGACGATGAGCAGGAGGACGAATAGTTCTCTTTAATGAAAATAAAATACTCCGAAGTGTTTCGATTTTAATTATTCCAAAAATTATACAAGAATTTCAATTCATATACCATATTCATTTTAATTCAGTGTAGTAAGGGCGTGCTTAGTTAAGGTAAAAATATATGTGCATAATAAATTTAATAAGAATTTCACGAGTTAATAAAATGCAAAAGTAAAATTTAAAATAAAAAGGAACAGGCAAATAAAGAAGAAACGCTCCAATTGGCGGACTGCTGGCTGCACCTCTTACTGGGCAACATTCTCCTTGTTGTTGTGCTGTGTGGAGAGAGGTGAAAGTGAATACGATTGGAATTATGATTGCTCTACTATTTAACAGCTCGTATTTATAGCTCACCCGATTGAATGCTGGCGAACAAAGAGGAGAGTTTCGCGGTGAATTGCGTGACGAATTCTTATTGGGCGTCAGGGAAGTGGACAGCGAGTTGCTACGTTTGTTGACCAGTGGTTGCTTTAGCGAATTCGATCCGCTTCTGATCACTCGAGCCTTCAGGTTTCCTCCGTCGACGGGGTCAATGGGCGTGGAATTCATAATGGTCTCCGTTTCGGACAATTCTTGCACAGAATGCAACGATACCTCTGGCTCACCCTCGCTGCACTGAAATGCCAATTATGTTTATTATTTAGTTATGCACGTGAAATGCACGATAAATAAGATCACAGCTTACCTCATCGATAGTGGCTGTGGTGTCCAAGTCCGACCAGTCCTGTTCCTGCCTATAACGACGCACAATATCCTGATGCGGCGATGTGGCTGCCAAGGTGCGTGGATAAATAAAGTCACGCTTTGACGGGGTCGTGCCAGTTGGCGTATAAGTTTTAAGCTCGCTCTGATGGAAATTCGAGAGGTCCTTGTGGCAAGTCTCCAACTGTTGCCGCTGCAATATCGCATGCTGCTTTGTCTGATTCGAGAGTTTATTAATGAGATCGGCAGTCAGGGCATCATGCCCATGGCCCAATTTAACATCATCCGAGATAATCTTATGGATACTTTCGGTGGCTGATTCAAGCTGTTTCTGCTGCTCGTGACGCAGCTGTTCGGCTCGCTCCTCACTGGTCGAGCACATCTGTCGCATTTGCTGTTCATGCATGCGAACCGTTTGAATGCTGTGCTCAGCATGCTTGGCGCTCTCCTTGTTCAAGTTCTCTAGCTGAATCTGCAGCGTGGAGCACTTCGCAACGCCGTGATCGACGCACAGCACTGCTGCCTGCAGCTGGCTACACAGTTCGTCGCGTGCAGCCTGCGCAGCCACTGAGCCCTCCATGGCATAGGCCTGCATGCTGTTGCCAGTCTGCTGGGCCTGCTCGTTGACCGCCACATGGCTGCGTTTCAGTTGGCCCACACGTGAGCCCATGCTGACTGTGTTCTTGGCTCGCTTCTGCTGCAATTGTTCCAGTTGCTGAAGCAGCTCTCCCTCCTGCTTTGCCAGCTCCTCTTCGTAAGCCAGTTCAGCCTGCAACTGTTGCAGCTCCTCCGCATCTGGCGCACTCAGCGCTGTCAACTGCTGCAATTGCTGTTGAACCAGTTCCACGTGTTGCTGCAATGCCTTTGCGTTGCGTTCAATAATTGGCGAGAAGCCATCTCGCATGCTATCCAGCGCTGCCTTGTGACGCTCATTGTTCGCCTCCAGCTCCTGCAAATTGGCCATTATATCCTCGCTGATCTGCGTCTTGCGCTGCTGCATTTGCTCCAACAGCTGTGCGACTACCGCTTGGCAATGGGCATCGCCACTGCTAGCAACAGCTTCCGCAAACTGTGCCTGCAGCTGCCCATGTGCTGCCAAGGCTTCCAAGCAAGTTGCACGCAAATTATCGATGCTCGTGGTGGCGTTAGCCACCAGACGCTTATGTACGTTGGTGCAGTTTGCTGTGCAGGAAAAATTAAAGTACATAAGCATAAAACTAAGATAAGTAATTTAATGCATACCTAGCTCGTCCGTCAACTGCTGCGTGGAGCCAGCCTGTTGCTCCTGGTACTGATTAAGACTGCCATCAAGAACCTCTAGATTGTCACGCATGCGTTCCGTGAACTGAGCGCACGTGCTACGGATCTTTTCATCCACAGTGCGACGCCGCTCAATGGTGCCTAATAGCTGATGGGTATCATTGGAAGCCATGTCGGCCACTTCAAGGATTTGATTTGCTTGCGTTGTCAACTCCTGTTCGGTCTTCATATGCGACTCGACCAGCTGTTTCTTTTCCTTGTAACGGCGCTTTGTTTTGCTGAGCACCTTCTTGGTGAGCAGCAGTGAGCCTTTGGTCTCGGTTAAATTCTGCTCAGTGCGAGTGAGCTTCTGGGTCTTCTTCACGAGACTCATGCTGACCTCATTGAAGATTTTCTCTTTGTTTTGTAACTCATCCTTCAGCGCTTTAAGGAGCAGCATTTTTTCATTTAGCTCACGTGTCTGCGAATCCATCTTAAGCATCATCTCATTGTAGGTATCCTCGGCCAAGTAGATGCCATTCTTGTCGCGTGCCGCCATCAAATCTCGTTTCAGTTTATCAATCTCCTCGGTGTACTCTTTGAGTACTGTCTTCTTGGTCAGCTTTTGATTAACCTCTGGTCTGTTCTGGATATTCTTGGCTCGATGTGCGTACTCAAGTGTGCTGAGCGTCTCCTCAATATCCTTGTGGCCAGGCGAGATAGTGGCTATAATTGAAGTCTTGGTACGCCCACCCAACGACTCCTGCAACAGGCGAGTCAGTTTTGACTCACGATAAGGCACATGAGGGGCGCGATCAACCAAGGCAGTAATTACACGTCCGAGCGTCAGCAGACTCTGATTGATATTCACTGTTTCTCGTACTCGAATGCCTTTCTCGTTGCCCGCCTTGGACACATTTTCACTGCCCGCCAAGTCTACCAAATTAAGCTTGCCAATTTTCAGCATCTCTTCTCCGTCGATGCCATTCTCGCGAATGTGAACAACAATTGAGAAAACGGTATGAGAACGAGAGGATTGAGCATTCATCAGTGTGGTAGCCGTTTTACGGCGCTCCTTGCCCTTCTCCAGCAGCTTGTACACATCGTCTTTGCTATGGACAGGTATCTCTTCGAGACCCTGTATGATTACCGAACCTTTTTTCGTACTATCATCGAATATACGAATCTTAGTATTATCATCGGTTGAGAGCAAATCGCACAGCTCTTCATTATACAACTCCAAATAGGAGATGCGCATCGTGAACTCCAGCTCCGTCATACGCAGCTCATCAAACAAATGGCTGAGCGCACGCGGTATAATGCCAATTTCAGAGTCCTATAAAAGAGGCGTGTACAAATTAGAAAAAGGTTTGAAATTCTCAGAATCAAAAGGTAACATTTGCGAGGTCAAAAACAAAGTAGTAAAACTTGTTTTCGCAGGTCAATAAAGGTTTCAAGCGAAACGCAACTGTACCGCGCAGGCGCAACTTGACTTGTGGATTTCACTTACATCTTCCCAGGTGGACCTCAGTTCGGCGCATTCATTGCCCACCATGGTATGTGTTTTTCCAGTTCCCGTCTGACCATAGGCAAATACCGTGCAGTTGTATCCAGCGAGCACCTCCTCGATGAGAGGTGCCACGACCGTGCTGTAGACATCGCATTGTCGCGATTCCGGACCAAAAGTCCGATCAAACGTAAATTTCTTGGTCAACTTGGAGTCGAGCGTGTGCCGAGTGATTATTTCACGCGGCGGCATTACATCCACGACCTCCGCGGAGCGAATGCAGCGTTCCCGCGAATTCAACGGCCTGCAACAATATCACCATCTTCAGCATTAGACATCAATACGTATTGAATATGATAATTAAAAACTCACCTGACGCGCACATAGACTTGAATATTTTGGTTTGATTTCCGCTGAGGCTGCTGGCGCGAGCCGTTCGCACCCGATGTCAAATCCATATTTCAAGAATGACGCCAAGCCCTTTTGCTATTAGAAATAACTGTAGTTTATGTATATATATAAATGTTTTGTTTGTGTGCAAGAATGTACACTGCACTAATTGCACACTAGCAAAATTTGCAAAATTTTTATCAATTTATATATATTTAGATGGTTTTTGTCTGCAATATGCAAAAATATTACAATCCGCCGCTTTAATAATCGCGTCGTCCGTTCGATTTTGAAAGATGCACAAAACACATATTTACTTACAAAATGGGTACACACTGGGAAAATAGTTCTTAATAATTGGCATATGTGCACACACTGTTATCGGTGCTATCGTTATTATATAAATGAGTAAATTTGCTTGCTTTGGCAATGAATATTTTTTTAATCAAGCTTAAGAAAATAGTGTCAGAACCATTTTAAATTTGTTTAGCGGAATAATTAAATATTTCTTCTCCTATAATAATATTAACATAATTATTCCGCGCCCTCTTACTTACAAAAATAGATGACAGATGGCGCCAGCTTTGACTATCGATAAGGCATCGATTGCTTTGGTGCTCTAGTATGTTTGTGTGAAAGTGCCTGTGCCTTCGTCACCTCGTTAAATAGTTTTGTAGGTTTATTAAAATTGCCATGTTTGCAGCTGTTTCGTATATTTAAAATTGAAATAGCTCCCTCGGCGACAATATCACACACACGACAGGCATAACTAACAACAAAACCAAAACTGCAGTTATTACATCTACTGCTAATTTTGCTGCTGCCGGTGCTTGAATTCGTGTGCGTGTGTGTTGCGTGTGTGCGCCGTCATCGGTGGGAAGAAGTTTTCATAAAAAGCAGTAAGCAAACAACAACAATAATAACAACCATGTCAGACAGTGTTATCAGATGATGATTGTATTATTTGGTAGGTGCACGAGCGGATTATTTGGCCAGCAGGATGGAGGGCGAGAACGATGTTTACGATGACATGAATCTGTACATAACACAAGAGAACTTCATTGTCGAGCCGAACGGACAGGATGAGCTCTTGGTTATTGGTCGCCTCGATAAGGTCACGCGAGTGCAGCCCAAGACTTCACAGCTGATCAATCAGCGACCGACCAGACGAATCTGCGGCATCCTGGGCACAATACATTTGCTTAGCTGCGACTATTTGCTGGTAGCAACCCATCGCATTTTCGTGGGAGTTCTTAACAATGCCATCGTATGGCGATTGGCAGGTTACGATATTATTCCCTACATTCCAAATGCGATTCAGCGCTCAGAGAACTCCAGTTTCTTGAAAATGCTGCGTCAGACGCTGGATACCAAATTCTACTACTTCTCATACCGATACGATCTAACGCAGAGTCTGCAACGGCAACACGAAAATAAGGTGCCAAAGGTGATGCCAGGCCTGCTGCAGCGTTCCGACGAGCGATTCGTGTGGAACCGCTATGTGCTGGAGCAATTCAAATGCAACAATATGCAGCGCTTCCAGCTGCCAATTATGCAAGGCTTTGTGTCGATCAACCAAGTGCAAATTAATGGACAAACCTTTTTCTGGAGCATTGTCAGCCGGAGATCTGTGGAGCGTGCGGGCACGCGACTCTTCTGTCGTGGCAGCAACGACCTGGGCCAAGTGGCAAACTTTGTGGAAACAGAGCAGATTGTCGAATTCAATGGACAACGTACAAGCTTTGTGCAGACGCGTGGCAGCATTCCCTTTCAGTGGCAGCAGCTACCCACGTTGCGCTATAGTCCCAAGCCGCGACTGACACCAGGCAAAGATTACTTGGCTGCATGCACTGCGCATTTCAACGCACAGCTCAAATATTATGGCAAGGTAGTGGCTATCAATCTGATAAACCAAAAAGGCGTCGAGGGCGAGCTGGAGGCAACATTTGCTCGACTTGTGCGCGAATTGAACAATCCTGCAGTGCGGTACGAGGCATTTGACTTTCACCATGAGTGCCGGAAAATGCGTTGGAATCGACTTAACATTCTAATCGATCGACTTGCCTATGAGCAGGATAGCTTTGGTTTCTTCCATGCCTTCGACAATGGCTCCCTGGTGTCGTCGCAGCAAGGCGTGTTCCGCACGAATTGCATCGATTGTCTCGACCGGACCAATGTGGTGCAGAGTATGCTGGCCCGTCGCTCCCTTACCGCCGTGCTGCAGAAACTGGGCGTGTTACACATCGGCCAAATGGTCGAGAATGCATCCACCAGCTTTGAGACGATATTCAAGGGCGTCTGGGCGGACAACGCGGATCTAGTCTCGCTGCAATATTCGGGCACAGGTGCTCTCAAAACGGACTTCACACGGACTGGCAAACGCACCAAGGCCGGTGCTCTTAACGATGGCAAGAACTCGCTAGTTCGCTACTATTTGAACAATTTCGCAGATGGCAGGCGCCAAGATGGCATCGATTTGTTCTTGGGCAACTATATCGTCAATGATAGCGAGAATATCATCCAACCAACGCCATTGGAGACGCCTCGCGGCTGGCGGTACTATATGTTCCCATCGGTGCTCCTAATTGCTGTCGCCATGTTTTTTGTCACGATGACATATCCATCCGAATTCAATACGGAGAACTTGCTCTTCATGCTCTTCTGGGGTGCTATGATCGCGGTTAGCGCCACTGGCATCTTACATTACGGCGTGGAATTTGTGCAATGGCCGCAGCTTTTTCCAGTTACATCCTTTCATTCCGCCTGACATTAGTATCGTTTAGTAGTTCAACTATAATGAATGGCCTTCCAGGTCTGCTTGCTTTTAGGTGCCCACACAGACACTGCTTAAAGAAATATATAAAGCAAAATTCCTGTATTTATTGCTCTCCTATTCTGTATTTTGTGTTATACACGCTCGATTCCCTCTTTTGAGAAGCCTTATAAGCTTTTTAGTTAAACTTGACGAAGCTTTGCCCGGCTGGAGCGGCAGCTGGAAAGGCACAACCCGGAGGCAGTGACCGTAGCAGCGCCACTTTAATTAATTACATTTACGAGTAGCTCAATCAATTTTGTGTAGAACAATTTCGGGATTTGAATAAAGGATTTTAGATATAAAAGAGACCCCAAAATGAATGCGTTTCAATTTTAAATTCTTGCAGATTGGAATGGGAAAAGAGATTTGGAAATGGCATAAATATCCATATGAATGTCTATTGCTTAAAGAAATATGTATTTACTCAGCAGGCATTTGTTTCATATATAGAATAATCAAAAATCTAAGCTAGTTCATTTTCAACCTCGGCCTAAATTACATACAATTTTTTTGTAACAAAATTTTTGGAATTTCATCTCTTCACCCGCAGAATGGATTCTAAAAAAGAGAGTAGTAACATGTTCGCCCCCAAAACTTTGATTTATATGCTTGAATTTGTGATTGATGATTTGTTAATAACACGTCAAAACCTATGCGCGCCCGAGGAATATCCGACTTGTGTAGAGATTACGTTCCGTTCTACAGTGTTTGTGAGCATCTGCGACCGTGAGTACGGCACATGTGTAAATCCCAAGGCGCCGAAATGCTGCAAATGTTGTATATTCGCGCTGGAATCGCCAGTAACGGACAAGGATCGGCTTTTAATACATGTGTATAAGAAGAAAACGAGTCGTTGTAAATTTCTGATTGGGCTGACAGAGTTGCCAATGAAGCCACTTTTCGACCGGGTGAGAGAATCGTTTGATGCTGAAAATATAAACTGGGAAAAGGTTTGGAGTGAACAGCTGCAGTTGGTGCCGAAATTGAAGGGTCCCAACAAGGACGTTATGGACAATTGTGCATGCTACGATCGCGGCAATGAGCGACGCGAGCAATTGTGCCAAACCTCGGAGATAACCAAACGTCTATTGCCGCTCTTCAACCTGTGCAAGCAGCAGACCGGCAATATTGTGATCATCATACGACTGGTCTGCAATGGGCCGTCGCTTGTATCCTCCTTTCCACTTAACACTTCAATCTGTTCACGGAATCCAGTCTGTCCTCCGCCTTGCCCCGCCCAGCCCTGCCCGTCCTGTCCACCCTGTGGCCAGAGTAAGCCCAGCTGCGACCCACCACGCTGCCCAGAGGATCCCTGTGACCCCTGCTGCGGCGGTGGGTCGACAAGTGCGACCGGCGGTCCCATGGATACTGGCAAGAAATGCTGCAAGGGCAGCTGTCCACCTTGTCCACCACCCAGCTGCGTTCAGCCAGATCCCTGCGCGCGGCCAGTCGACGATAGGGGGAAGTGCCTGCGCTACTTTGCCTGCAATCTGGACAAGATGTGCCCCTGTGAAACCTGCGAGGATGAGTTCGACCGCGGTAAGTACAAGTGCCATTTCGTATTATAGCAGTGTATATATAGCTAGGGTGAAACTGCTCAAACAGAGTGTCCCACTGTACCGAGCAAGCGACGTCCCAAATCCGTCATTGAGCAGCGCCTGGAGCCTTGTGGTCCCTGCGGTGGCGTTCCAGCCCATCCCCGATACGTACAAACTCAAAAGCAACTGGGTTTGGAGGAGAGTCGCAAGGAGAAACGTGAGGAAAATAAACAAAAGGAGAAGGAGAAGAAGAAGGGCAAACGTCAGTCTGGCGGCGGGCTGTACTGTGAAGGCGAACCTTCAACGTCCTGCTTCGCCGGAGAGTCGAACCAAACTCCCGACTGTGGCGGCCCGGAAGCCTGCAATCACTGCTGCCCCGAATATGCCAGTTGCTGTAATATTGGTGGGTTGTTGCCACAGACCACATCTAACTACGTATATAATCTGACTGTCACTGTTTCCCTGCAGCGCGTAGTCGAGCCATACGTCAATTGCATCATCTCCTGCTTAAGTACAATATTCACGTGGACTGATCTCTCCCATGTGCACCTAGCAAACGGCAAAGACAGAAACCCAAGCGACCAAACGGAGCACAGACCTAACCACGTATATATGTATATATGTATATACCGTATATATGTATATACCTATATATAGTTATATATCCATAAACTAAATGGAACTCAAATCGGAATGCCTCGGAACGCACTTCGTTCTACTGCCAGTGATCGACGGTTGTTAGTCAGTGTTGTCCCATGTCTCACTCGATCAACACAAAGTTTCAAATCTAGCGGAATACCTTAGAATAATCGTCGACTCGGAGCTGAAGAGAGACCAAGTGCAGTACATGCCGTAGCAAGCTTTGATATTCAAGATGATAAAGCTGTTATTTGGGGGGTCAGACTATTATTTGAACGAATCATAGCTTTCACGGAAGAAACTCGTTTTAACAATCCTCATTATATAAATTAAATTTTATACTCTTGAACATGTTGAAAATGGAAATTCAGGGTAGTGTCATGGTTTTGTTATTATGTATGTTCCAGACCCAGCAGAAAGGCGTGTCGGGCCCCATAATATATACCCATATATTGTAGATCTGGGCGACGATCTGTCTGATGTGGGCACCCATAGCCTCTAGGGACCATGCGCTGATCTTGTTTCTTTTAAATGATCCATAACTATTACGGTTTTATGATAACCGATTCAAAACGATATCGAACTTCTGATGTATTATACATATATTATAAGCATGCTAAAATTGGAACTACTAGTACTGAGACGCCTAATATAATGACATAAAGTTGATCAAGTCGAGCAGTGAATTTATTACAATTATTTTAAATTATATACATGCTCTCCTTTAAAACAAATAAAAATATAATTCTTAATCAGGGTTGCTATGCGTTCTCTACCTTTAGTTTATTTTTCTCGTATACTCGTATTCCCTGCTCAAAATTTGACCTGAAGTGAACTTCAAAATTTGAATTCAAAATTAGTAATTTACGTTTTACTTTACGATAAATATTCAGAAATGTCCTTTCAACTCCCTGAGCTATTGTATATGTTTGAGTTTGTGATTGATGATCTGATAATCATACGCAAAAACCTTTGTGCTCCCGACGAGTACCCCACCTGTGTGGAATTTACCTTTCGATCAAACGTCTATGTGACGCTCTGCGATCGAGAGTATGGAGCATGTGTAGACGAATCAGAGCCGAGGACCGGAAAGTGCTGCATCTTTCCGCTGAAAGGGGAAGTGAAAGACAATGAACGTCTTTACGTAAATATTTATAAGAAGCGCACAGATTGCTGTAAGTTTCTGATTGGAATGGCCGAGATGGAAGTGAAACCGCTCTTTGACTACCTCAATGATATTGATCAAACCGACACGAATTGGTTGAATCCACAGTATACTGTGGATCTGCCCAAGTTTGGGGACACCAGAAGAAAATCGTTGAACACAGTCGCATGCTTTGATCCCGGACTCCAGCGCATGGAGCAGCTCTGTCCCAGCTTCATTAATGTGAAGAATATGCTGCCAATTTTCAATCTATACAACCAGCAAATCGGCAACATTGTGCTCAAGCTGCGACTACTCTGTCACGGACCCACTATCGTGGCGGAAGTGTTTAAGAAGGGCAACAAGATGGTCGCCGCGCCACGCCGTCCAGATCAAGATATCTGTTACGTAGTGCCCGAGGAGCGCGGCGTGGTTCTGCCCCCAAAGGGCCATCGTTATTTCGCCCGAAATGCCAATAAGCTGTGTCCCTGTGACACCTGTGAGGATGAGTTCGATCGCCGTAAGTTTCATACCATATAACGAGCTATACTAGCACAAATTAATCAACTCTATCGAATCCATAGCATGTCCTACTGTGCCAGCCAAAATTCATCCAAAGAGGATCGTCAAGTACAAGAAAGTTTGTAAGGAATGTGCGGGCGTTGCAATGTTCCCAGAATTTATTTCCTATGAAAATATACATGCAAATCACAAAGTCAAGAAGAATAGGGCAAAAATGTCCGGTAAGAAATCAAATGATTGTGTTTCCTCTGTGGATTCCTGAGAAGTGTATTGCAATTTAAATCAGATTGATTGTATTCAAATTATGTTTTTACACTCCACACATTGTAAACAGGGACTATGAAATGTTTCTAGTTTGATTAGTATTAACAAATAAAGTAACAAGAAAAAAAATCTAATTTAGTTTTGAACAAGATTTGGATTGGGCTTGCTCCCTGGAGAAGTATGTTTGTGTTATACTTGTGCCAGAGGAATGACAGACATAGAAGATATAGAATAGCTTAAAGGTATTCTCTTATTCTCTTTCACATCCAAGTGAAAAAAATCGCTGTAAGTGTTTTCGGCACAGCAGAAGAAAATTCCATCAACCCAACAACTGTAGAAAGGATTTATACATTTAATATTCTTTAATATAAAACTGTATATATTTTTCCTATTAAGCATGCCTTGAAATGTGAGCAGCTGTTATATTGGAGAGCCAAGCCTCACTCCTATTTCGGCCGTCGTTCAGGAATTACTTCAAAATTCATTTTTTGGCATAAATTCAAAATTCAAATTTTTTCTCAAAATTATTTCAATACGGTCTGAAATATTTGAGGATGGTCCCTTCGCCTCCAGTACCAAATTTGTTGTACATGTTTGATTTTGTAATTGACGATCTGGTGATAATACGCAAGAATCACTGTGCCCCAGAAGAATACGCCACCTGTGTGGAGTTCACATTCCGATCCAATCTCTACATCAATCTCTGTGATCGTGAATATGGAGGCTGCATAGATCCCAAACAGGCGAGGTGCGCCAAGTGCTGCATATTTCCGCTGGATAAGCCAGTCACCGACGAGGATCGACTGTTGATTCACGTCTATAAGAAGCGGACGGATCGATGCAAATTTCTGATTGGAATGACTGAAATGGTAGTCAAGCCGCTCTTTGATGAGATCGACAAGACGTTCGAGGACCAGAACACAGATTGGTTAATGAAGCGGCAGGACAGCTTGAAGGGTCTCCCTACACTCAAGGGCTCCAACAGAGACATGTTGGACAGATGTGAGTGCTTCAACGCCGGTTTCCGCCGGAGAGAGCAGCTCTGTCCCAACTACGTAGTTGTCAAGAGAATGTTGCCCCTCTTCAATCTCTGCAATCAGCAGACCGGCAACATGGTGCTCCTATTGCGTCTGCTCTGCCATGGACCCACTATTGTATCACAGCTCCACTTGGTGGGCAACAAGTTTGTCCCCGTGGAGCAGCCCCCAGATCAGCATCCATGTTATATACTGCCAGAAGAGCGCGAGGGCAATTTCCCCACAACGGGCTATCGATACTTTTCATGCAATCTGGATAAGCTCTGCCCCTGCGACACCTGTGAGGATGAGTTTGATCGCGGTAAGTTTTTGTTTTTGCCTTGATTTATCTTGTCCCACTGTGCCACTAACTCAAACGACCTCTCTGTCCCATAGATTGCCCCACTGTGCCCTGTATGAATAAGTGTAAGAGGATTGTTGAGGAATACAAGCCGTGCGGAATTTGCGGCGATGTCCCGCTGCTGCCCACCAGATTTGTATCCCGTGAGAATTTGCTAGCAAAGCGTAAATGCAAAAAGAAGCCAACGCAAAAGAGATGCTGCAAAACGTAAAGGCAAAACAGACTCAGATATAGAAATTTGACGTACTGAAATTGTCAAAGAAATTTATAATTGTGTTTAATTAAGTTATTGACAATAAATTTTTGCATGTCACGCATTGTGTTTATCGTTGGCTATAATCCTGGCATGCCATTAGTTTGAAGAATATGTAGCTATAAGAGAAGACTGATGTAGGGATCCATAGAGTAGTCTACCAGTGTTGTGGCCGAGCTCTGGCAGCCAGACAATTGCTTCCATTGAGTGTCACCACTATGACGGGCATCGCATGGGGGTAATAGTAGAGAGACAGCACTAGAGATGTTCTCGGGATTACGACTTGCTGAATTCTAGGCCTGCTTAAAGAAAACAAATGGAATAGGATCTGAAATGCCTGCTAGGAAGGCATCTAGATCAGGCGGCTCTCTGATCCCTCTTCTGATATGTCTGCCTTTTATGCTATCAGTGCTATGTACTCTCACTCACGCCACCTCTGTGTGGAGGTTTTATACGGCTCTCAACCTAAGCAATCGTTGCATGTTGGATTTCACAAAGTCAATCAAAATTGTATCAACGCTTCAACACTCAGTCAACAAAATTGTTCAGGGTAAAAAATTCATTTTATTTTCAACAATCGATTCGGAATTTTCTATCGTCTAAAAAGAAAAAAAATTCTCTCGTAATTCCGTTTTTGCTTTTTTTTTTCCTTAGCGCTTTTAGCTTTGTTGTTAGCTAGTTGCGGCCCAAGCGATTGCACCATTAGCTTACGCTCCGCAAGGGCGTGTGAAGGTCATTTCCTTGGGTCATCAGACTTACGTAGCGGCATATATATATACTTATATATTTACATATCTATATATATATTCGTATAAATTGAAGCTGTTAGCTGGAAATATAATAAGTACGTTTTCTTTTAGCGCGCAGACAAGATTTAGGGAAATTGTGCCATTCACTGGTCAAGTACAATATCCAAATTGACATATTTTCAATCCATATCAAAATTTAATCTGAGCTCATTTGCAATCGCATAAGCCTAACCGATCAAGATGGCCAAGAAGAAGGGCAAGAAGGGCAAAAAGGGCAAGAAAAAGGGGGGCATCAGTTGCCCAGTCGAGATCACTGATGAAATGCTCAAGCCGATGACGCCAAGACGTGAGTAAACCTCTTGAATTGCCAACTGCTCCACCATACTTATAGTGCCTGGGGTCCAGCTGCCGATTGTGACGAGTGCTGCCAGTGCCAATGCGATTGCGATTGTAGTCCGGAGATACAGCCGTGCTTCATACAGCCGACGATACCAGATCCTGGTCCCGAGGCCTATGACGAGTTCGAGGCGTGTCTGAATGGCAGCGGTCTAACCATACGAGTCTTAAAGAATACACACAAAGTCGAGAGCGTGGACGATGGGGCAACCACAAGGAACCTGGGCCCAGACGATGATCCCTGCTACAAGAGGAAGCTGGAGGACTGCCCAGAGAACAACTGCCTCAACGACATACTCCAGCGCAGTGATTTTGCCAGGAAGCACATACAGCGGCGCACCTGCGGCCGGATTGTCAATCACCCCAACATACCGAAGGTGCGCGCGAACATCAAATACTCGGGCAACGACACCTGCGAGACGAATAACTACTACGTGCCCTTCTCCAAGATCATGGAGGTCTGCGAGGGCCAGGAGGCCAAAGTCGATTGCTATCGATCCCAAGTTTGCGATAAACAAGAGGCTAAAATCGATTGTTATCGCAAACGATTGTGCGGCGGCGGATTGCCGTGCATACTGCCAATCCCGCCCGTACAGGGTAAGCGCAGCTGCTGCATGCAGGTGCAAGCGCAGGATATTAAGGACACTATGAACGGCGTCGAGCTGGATACCAGGAAGAAGGGCATTGAGGTGAGAGTGGACGACACGCACACACACACACACACACACACACACTAATTTTGCTAGCTTTAAACTGCATGCCACAAGCCAAGCTCGTATTGGAATGCGGAATACGAGAGTTGAATGATCCAATTGTTCCGTGACTTGGCCTCACAGTAGTTGCTGCTGCTGCGGCTAAACGTTTACAGAGCCAGTTGCATAATCTGACACACATACATACACACACACACTCATGCACTCGTAAGGCAATTGCAAGAGCTCCAAATATGTGAAGTCAAACCAAAGCTGTAAATCTGCCAGCTGTCCGCCAGTCGCTTTCTCACTCACTCACTCTCCTCTCTCTCTCTCTTTCTCTCTCGGTGTAGGTCTGTTATAAAACATGCGAGGAAACGGACAGCGATGTGTTCCTTGTCAAGCTGGGCAGCAAATCGAAGTCACAGCACAAGAAGAACACAATTGAGATTGAGCTAAGGACGCCCAAGCAGCCGGTGACGTTGCCCATGAGCAAGGTGACAACCGAGACGTACGTGACGGAGGCGTTGCTGGATGCCACCAAGGGCAAGGGTAAGGGCAAGAAGAAGGGCAAAGGCAAAGGCAAGAAGAAGAAATAGAGAGAATATTGATAGAAACAGCAAAAATCTGGTCATATATCGATTGATAAAGCCAGATAGAAGAATAAGAGAAAGCAAAAACCACGCCCACTTGTTAGAAGTTACCTCGCTTTGAGACAAAGTATATTACATAACATTTGGATACGAAATTATAGTTTTTTAGATTATTTAGCTGGCAACTGGAACGAATGAAAAAATACAATTGTCAAATAAATATAGCAACATTTTGGATACACGCAAATATATCTGAATAGTTTTTTTTTTCTACATTTGTTTCAGGTAAAGGTCATATTTCTCAATAACCGATAAGTGGCAAATGGTGCTAAAATAAGTGTGCATAAAATTACAATTAGCATAGCCAAGTTATTTATAGCTCTCGTGCGGCCTTGGCAAGGGAAATTCTTGAGTTTGTATCTTGCACTTTGCTCCGTCCATCTGGCCTGATCAGTTTCAGCAGCTCAAAGACCCGCCCCAGCCACACCTGCGCCCATGTGTAATAAAAATTAAGAAAACAGCCGCACTTTAGCCAGCCGAAGCTGAAGATGTGTGCAGCGCAAAGGTCAGTAGAGAAGAAGCTGGCTAGGAACGCAGATGCAGCACCATTACAGCCAACGGCTACGTCTTGGTCAACATAAACAAGTTGCCAGAGCGAGCTGGCGAGACAGAGACTGAGAGCGAGAGCGAGAGAGAGCTAGAGCCAATGGCCAACTCGATCTGGCCAAACGAAGCAGCTGACCGGAGCCGAGGTGTCAGAGCCAAACACAGACGATCGATCGGCTCCAGAGAGAAGTCTCCAGCGCGCAACGTGTTTTAGTTGCGTTCAAACGCTTTAGTCTGTAAGTAAGCAAGCCGAAAGCCAACGCAACAGTCACGAGAAACGGAGCTACGATCGAGGCTCTGGACGGTTCGAGAGCTCAGCGCCGAATGCGAACAACTTTGGAGTTCGGTCCGCTCAGCAGAGTCAGCAGGCCAAGCCTCAGCAAGTGAGAGTCGAAAACACGGCGCTCTCCCGCGGCAGCAGCCACAGCCACAGTCAACAGCAACAACAACAACAACACGGAAAGAAAGTCAAACCAAGAGGCGGCAAGACGAGATCGCTCGATTACCTAAGAGTGAGGCGGGCGGTGCAGATTAATGGCCAGACGCTCTCCATTCCACAACGCCATGAATATAGCAGGAGAAAACAGAAGCTTTGAGACCAAACACACCAGAGATATCAACAAGCCGAACCAAAAAGCAGCGCTGACAGCAACAGCAACAGCAACAACAACAGCAACAACAAAATACGATCGTCGCCTCTATCGAACCATTGTGAATTCATATCCATAATTTGTAGATCTGCGGATCTATGGCATCTATGCATTTGTAATTTAGAAAGCGCCTGAGCAGCATTATACCACACAGAGATCACAGTTAGAGCACGCCCGAGTGCAGCCATTCACCCACGACACACGCTCCGTGGAGCACACTGAGCTAGTGCAGCCTGCAGCGTGTTTGCTTTCTCCTCTCGCCCAGGTGTCAGTCGTGTCCACATCGCCGTCGCCGTCGCCGTCGCCGTTGCCGTCGCGAAGCTCTCTTACACAACCCGCGCAATGATAGTGCTACGCTTCACGCTCTTCACACTGCTCCTATCGCTGGCCAGCGTCGGTTCCGGTAAAAATGCACCACAAGAAGTGCCGACGCCGCCCCTCGCAGTGCCTGTGCGAAACGTGCCGCACAGACTCCCAGCAGCCAGCCACAGTCACAGCCATAGCAACAGCAGCAGCAGCAGTCGAGGCAATGTACCAATTGCGATTGTCCAGCAGCAGCAGCAGCAGCAGCAGGAGGCGGCATCAGCCTCAAATGCACGCGACAAGCGAGGTAAGTACTTGATAGCTATTCCATCGCATGTTGGCCAAGTGGCATCGAGTGGATAAATCCATGCCAAGGCTGGCCCAGCGATACATTTGAATGAGACCGCCTCAATGCCTGTGCCAATATTGAAGATTGCACTTAGAGACAGGCAGTGAGAGAGAGAGAGAGATAGAGAGAGAGGGGGGTAGAGAGAGATTGTTACATATATGTATATATCATGCATCATTGATCTGCCTTGGCTAGCAGCTGTTGAGGCGTGAAAGCTGATATTAATGAAATTGACCTTAACGTCTCGCTGAGCATAACGTTTTGATGGGCTTAGCGAGTATTTGAAAAATAAAAGGTAAACACTCCATAAAAATATTTGCTTGTGAATTTACTGAAACATTTAACTGTTGACGATAATCTGAAATCATGTTTTAATCAACGCTTAATTAATGAATGCAAAATATTATAAGCATTTCTTTCTTTCTCCGCTGAACCAGCTCAGTCGCTGTTATATAAAGGCCGATAAGATTATTAATGTCATTGGCATCTTTATATGTTAACACATTAATTATAAACAACAACAAAAGCAAACATTCATTTTTTTTAGCATATAGTTATTCATGTTGCATTTGGCTTGCTGATGACCTCACGATTAGCCCGATAGACTGAATTCAATCCGCAAATATATACAGATTCGTATTGATAGAATGAGTTTAAACTTGGGCGTTTATTGACTTTTTGGCTTTTGAGTTTGCTATTTCGATCACCTTGTGACATTTTGAGGCAACGCGTGCGAGTGAGATTCATCTCTTGATATATGCGATATACATGATATACACATATAAATGTCCATCTCTCGCTCTAATGTATTTTATAATATTCCCGTTTTCCTTTCTTTTTCTATTGGGTTCAATCACCTGCTTTGCCAACACAAATAGAAATTTCTACAGATAAATTTGTCATTTCGAATGGGCCTATTATGCATGCAAGCTGTTCAGCAAGTTCTTAGGCCGAGTGAAGTCTTACAGCATATTTTATGCTAATGCTGATTAATTATTAATGTGCTCGAATCTATTCTTAAGTGCTGCCATAATTAACGTTCTCCGATTGTGCTCCGTCGCGGCAGCAGAGAACGTAGAGCTACACTTGAGATCATTAATAAGCGTGTTGTGTCTGGCATTGAACTACGCGTATTGTTCGTCTGTCGTGTATCAAATTTGTCTGCGTCAATCAAAAGAACACACCGCAGCTCGGCCAACGGGGCGTATGCGCTTTGGTGTTGCGTTACGCATACGCCGCATATTACACTCGGTTTTCCTTCTCTTTTTTTGCTGCGGCTAATTGCGAGTGCATCGATTGCGCCAGCATSGCAAAAACTAAATGAAATGAAATGGAATGAAATGAAAACTAAAGCACACTTTTTTCGCCTTCGTTTGCTTGACGGAATGCGCGCGACTCATAAAAAGTCGCAAACATTTTTGGCATACATATTTTTCGCACATGGCGCATTGCACAACAGCAAGCGAAACTCTTTTGTGGGGCAGCCAGTACTTGAGTAGATGCTGCGCTGCTGCTAATTGACCTCTTTTCAGCCAAGCGGCAATTACACGGCCCTCAATTCTTTTCCAGCAGCAGCGGCAGCTCTGCTGCTTCTGAGATACAGCTACAGATACAAATACATCATCCGCTGTAGCTGGCGGGCTATTTGCAACAGATGCAAGTCAGAATGATTTACTGTTTGATTTGCACTGTATCTGTATCTGTATCTGTAGCTGTTGTTGTTGCTGCTACTGTCTTTTGCATTTTCAAGGCGGTTGCCAGTTGCCAGTTGCAGTTGCAGCCAACATCCTCGACGTGAAGTCTCAATGATTTATGTGCCTGGCCAGCGACAATTAGCCAATGTGTTCATGCCGTGTATCTTTTGCGCTAGAGATAGACATCAATTCGAGCAGAACTGGGTTAAGCAATGGCATCAATTGCTGCCACATAGTTGCCGCTGCATAGCTGCACGCTGCACGATATTATTGGAGAGCAATCGAACGGCAACCGAAAATGCAACAGGCATATTTGAAAACTGCGTGCTAAACGGCGCTCAGAGATCGGCCAACTGGATTAGATTGTGCATTTGGGCCATCACGATTTCGTAGCGACTTTCAATTGGTCAATTGGTCAACTGCACAGACAATGGCATGTAAATTGCGACAGCAGCAGCAGCAGCAACAACAACAACAACAACAGCAGCAACAACAACTATGTATAACAAGACTACCTTCAGCAATTGAAATGCGGCTCATTATGAGCGACAAATACTCGTAATATCTCAAGGATTATTGAGCTCGATTTGTTGTTGGCTCGTTGAGAACAATTCGATGCGTGTTAACAATGGGCCGCAAATGTGACTGCCATTAGAGTCCATTGTTTGGCCCGAGCGACCCATTGTCTGTCCGCCTGTTCGAGTGGCCGCCTCTCCGTGACCCCAGACGAGCGCAATTATACAATATATAGGATGCTCGGCAATTTGAATCGATAATTAATGCCACGAGGAAGCACATACAAATATTGATGACTCAGCTGTCAGCTGTCAGCTGTCAGTTGATGTATTGAGTGCTCTGCACTTAGACACAGATTGCATCTGAAATGGCTGAGCAAGAGCAAAGAAAATCGATTTTCAATTGAGACATTAAACCAATTAGTAATTATGAGCTGATATATTTTGCCTTTCCTTTCGAAAATGTATAAACTTGGAGCTGCAAATTGAGATTTTGAGCTAGTGAACTATAATTATGTGAGTAAAGCAAAAGCAAGGCTATATAATCAATAGAAATTGTATTTAATTCGTTTTTGATTCTTGCCTTGAAGTTCGTTAAAAAAATAAATAAGTGGACGATAACATTTTCAAAGCAAAACCATCAATCTATATCAAGTCAAATTATTTTAAAATCAAATATAGATAGGTTTGGCTAGGTTAACGCTGCAGCTTTTAAAGGTATACATAAATGATTTCGTTAGAATTGCTATAATAGAAATTGCTATATAGTTATATATAGACTCTAATCGAAATATACATTTAGCTGGAATGCATAAATATCAATATAATGTTTATACAATTGAAGTTTCTCTACATGTTGAACACGTTTCTTAAGTGCTATCGAATCTATTTGCAGAACACATAACATACCTTTAAGATATCTCCTAATGGACCACACTCGACTATATTGCTCTTATTTACTTTGTAGACATAAACTAATTTAGTTTATATGCAGCTGGCATGGTTTAATAGCTCGCTCCCTCTCTCTCTCTATCTTTTCGCATCTCTCGCTCTCCCTCTATATATAAATTCCCCTTCAGATCATATATCAATAAGATTTATGAGTTACTCCGCTTAAACACACCCAATTTCAATATTTAGCCAACATTCAGTACTTTAAGACGAGGCTATAAATCGAATTTGATTTGCCCTTTTAGCCAGGCAAAAGCCAGCTTGAGCTTGGAGGGAACTTTTAAACGACGACTTGTGGGTTCAAAGAAAAAAACAGTAGAAAACAGAAATGATTACCGCAGGCAGAAAAAAAGAAAACAAAGTGAGGAGAAGCAACGACAATAAATTGCGTAATAAATTTTACCTCGTTTTACACACTTTAATGAAGGTAAACATATTTGTAAAGGCGTTGCAAAAACAAAAAATAAAAGACGATAATAAAATTTAGTGAAACAAACCCGAAATGGCGGGCAATCAAAATTTTGTGGAGCGTACGACAATATTTTGATGCTCTTTTGGGTGTGTTGTGGAGCTAATGCATCAAGCGAACTGTTAAGGAGCAGTTAAGGCCTTTAACGACGCTTTGTCAACGCCGTTTACTGCGGCATTCATATCAATTATTTGGCAATTTGAACTCATTAACCCAATGGGGCGCTGGCCACTGAACCATCAACTGGAACTGGAACTGGAACTGCAATCCGTTCAACTGTCTCTGACAGCCTTGACACACTTACACTTATTGCTGGGGGGGACTGAGCTTCCAAATGGCAAACGATCAATCTGTCATTAAACACACACACACAAAAAAAAAAAGAAGCAAAGTAAGCCGGAAGACCCACAAAAAAAGCAACAAATTTAAAAAGCAAATTGTAAATTTATACGCCGCTTCAGCATGAGCTAACGATCGACCAGACTGACCAGACTATGCGACCCCGAGGCTGCGGCGGGCATTCCCGTCTGTCTCTGGGTCACACATTTGATTGATGCATGTCACTTAAGTGACTGAGGCAAAACGTCATGATGTCTATCAAATCAAATTGCAGCAAATCATTAACAGACTCTTGGGTGGCCTATGCACATATCCATAGCTTGACTTGGCCTTAAATGTTCTCACACAGAACTAGCTGCAAAAACTGGTCAAAGAAGTTTGGTTTCGGCTAGAGCAGCAGATTGCCTTGCAGCGCATCTGCTAGTCGAGCACACTCGTCTGGAGCACTTTTAGCTGCTAAGCCAAGACTTGATAAACTCTTGACCTTAAGATTTAATTGATAGCCAGTTGCTTATACAGGTTGTACATGTGTTTATACCCTGTAAACAAGAAAGGCGAACAAGATGAGTTGATCTGTCCACCTATTTCACTTTTATACTCAACTTAATCTTCATCTCTCTCACTCTCTCTCTCTCTCTCTTACTCCCTCTCTCTGTCTGTCTTTATCGAGAATGAGCAATTTATATGTCTCTCTCTTTCTCACCATCTCTATCATAGGGTATTAGCTAGTTGTGCAATCTCGCCCTCTCTCTCTCTCTCTGTCTATCCCCCGCTCACTAAACTACTATTACTTGTTCATTACTTAATTTTCTGCAACTCATCTTCAGCGTGAGTGTGGGCCGCCCGGCGTTTATGTAATTGCCCCAGCAAAAGTGGTCGAAGCGTTCACCACCTGTTGGGATTGCTTAATGGCCGCGGCCCACATATGATTACATTGATTAATCGTGCATCAAACCAATTTCAGGTGCCACCAGCAGCAGCACGACGCACAGCACGCACAGAAGAGGCAGAAATCACAACATCAGCCCGGGCACCAACAGCAATCACTTTGAGCTGGATCAGAGCGAGCTGGCGCGCCAGAATCAGATAACCCAGCAGATCTTTGCCAACTTTCTGGAGCGCCGATTGTTTCCCCATCGCAATGTTAGCCAGAAGATACCCACCATAGAGGATATACTGCCCAAGCCGAAGCCGCTTCATCCTCGTCCACGCGGCTTCGCGGCCAACATCGACAGCTTCAAGAGCGGTGGAGGAGCTCAGCGCAACCGTCTGGCAGCTGTGGCGGCCAGCAAGCGGCTGACGAGCTCGAATAGTCGGCTCGTGACCTACGAAGACGAGGAGGAGGACCTGGCGGATCAGCAGTCACAGGCGAATAGCAATCCGCACGATGAGTACGACGATGATGTGCAGGAGTCGCTGCAGAGCGTGGAATCGGAGCAGCACGATCAGTACTACGGCAATATATTCCAACGTGATCCCAGCGAGAATGAAATTGATAGCGGTAAGTGTTAAAGTAGCTAGAGACTAATCAGGCAAGCCAGTGTGAAGTGTTGGAAAATGCCAATAAAAGCATTATCAAATGCATAAGCGAGTTACAAGCCAAGTGATAGATTCAATGAAAGCAATTAATCACCAACCACAGTAAATTAATCAACACATACAATTCATAACGGTAAGTGTTGGAAAACTACAAAAGGGCCATTAATCAAGCTCATAATCTGTAAGATAAAGACATCAAGCGTGGAAGGGGCAACTGCCCCATTTCGATCCCCTTCTTTACACAGACGACCATCCATCAAATTACAAATTACAAATAGCTGCAGCGATCGCTATAATAATAGCATCAACAACATGCCCGTTAATAGCCTTGCTTTTAGTTTCTTAAGTAGCTGCTGTTGAGAGTGTTTACATGCTCTAAGGCAAAGTCAATGGCGAAGGCAAAGATTCCCAGTTATAACAAACGATAATAACTGAAATACTCATTTATTCACATCAAATATCATTAGTATTATATATTATCGTATCCTTCCTTAAAATAGGAATGCGACTAATACACGAAATGATCCACAAATAATAATGACTGTTGATAGAAATTCAATAACTGGTGACCACTTCTTCACCTCGTTCATTGAGCCACCCTCGATACAAAGAACAGATAGTTGACGACGATACATCTTGCTGTACTGGCTATATAGAATACTTTGGAATTTACGATATATCTGTTTTCTAATCTGTGCACGACTCTAAATTTTCTGCTCTGACATAAATGAATTTAAAGCTGTTTATAAAACAATAATGTATATAGAAAGTCACAGGCCACTGCTCTCTTTAAAAATTACAAATAGCTGCACCTATCGCTATAATAATCGTATCATCAATATAACCTTGCTTTTAGTTTCTTAAGTAGCTGCTGTTGATACAGCCCCCGTGAATATTTACACACTCGAGGCAAAGGCAGAGGTGATGAGCTTATTTATTATATCACATCTCAGCTGAAGACGCTGCTCTATAGAGGTGAGGAAACATCGCAGACATTTCATGTAATTCCTTAGCGTATTTAAAGCCTCTTTTAATATCGCATTCAGCTGACCCAGTAACAGCATTAAATATGCCTCACTCTGGCTGTTCTTGAGTTTCATTTTGTGTCGCTATTCGAGTCATTTATTTGCATACAAAAGCGTTTTGTTGCTGTGGTAAATGTCGTTTTCGCGCCGTTGCGGTTCATGGCCCACGAGGCGTATGATGGATGCCAGTTCTTATGTCATTTGCAGCGTCTGCGTAGTGTTTGCATTTAATTTATGCCTTGTTTTCCCTGCCCATACTAGCATCTGTTTACGCAACTTCATCTGTTAATTCGCCTCGATTTTACTAACCAACTTCACTTGCAGTCGCCAATCGCCTTCGCCTTCGCATTTGATGCCATCCGCGGCACTTGTACAATATTGAACTTTATCATTCGATATATTGTCTCATTTGAACAGTCAACAGAAACTCGTTTTCAATTTGCCTCTGAATCTCTAGATTTGCCCATTGAATTCACACCTCCATACATACAGCAGCCGCAGCTGCGTTTCGCTACGATTTTTGTGTTGATTTGGGTTCCGATGTTGGAACTAAGTCGTTTCAATGCAGCTCATTGTTTTCTTATCGCAAATCGAATTCGAGTTTATAAACACATTAAATACTCAAATTAAATGTGACAATTATTTCTGATCGAGCAGAGCTATAAATCTCAGGCAAGCTGCCCGCGGGAATCACTTAAAACCGTTCGGCTTGGGTTAAATGAACCCAAGCGAGCCAAATTAATTAACGTATTATTGCCAATGAAATACTGCTAGAAAATTAGCTATATAACAGTTTACACAAAATTATATTCAAACAAAGAAGCTAGAGAAGTTACACAAATATTTAATTAAAATAAATAAAAAACATAATTAAATAAATATTTGTATAGCTTTTAAAAAAATATTTTTGAAGTAGTTTTGTAAAATATTTTCAGCTATACATTAAATATTTAATTATTTAAAGTTAATTTGAATATTTTAATATATTATCAATAAAAAATTGTGATAAATTATTTAAATATAGTGTTCTCAGCATCGAAAATTTCATGTTTTCTAATAAAGTTTCGAAATCGCCTAGAGCGCAAATTATATATTTTGACTATATTTATTACCCTACACGCCAAGGTCGAACAAGTTTGAATACAAAAGATTATAAATATTATATTTTAAAGACATATACTAAAAATTTAAGTGATCCATTAGCTATTTTTCTAAGCGAATTAGTATTGTATTTATTATGTTTCGTAGACAGTTAAATTGATGATCCCCAACTAGGCTTAGTTAAACACGTTTTGCAAATCACGTTTTCAAGAATCGTCATAATTTCATTTGTAAATAACTAACAAATGAGACGCCCTGCGGCTATAAAGCCTCAAGTCTATCATTATTTAGCCCCAATATAAATTCCTCAACTAATTACTGTGATTTGATCAAATGTCAGATGTTACATTAATAGAGCTATATAATATAGCTAAGGGCACACTTCCGATATTGTTCCTCGATCAATTAGGTTTCTGTTACAAAGAAACTCCCCATGAACCCTTCGAATTGGATTTGCTGCTGTAATCTAATATCAATGCCGAATGCTAATCAAATCAAATGCTTTTTAATGTCTGGCTACATAATTAAGCAGCTTCAAACGTGTTTTACTCCGTCGAGCTTAGCTGGCAAAAACAAAGAATTAGCCGCAAAGATTCCCAGTTACAGCAAACATGGATTCAAATTTTCATTCGTTTATTCAGAAAGTATCAAAATATCGTCTCGCTTTAAGCGATAAATGCGATTATTATACGAAATGATCCACATATTAAAATGACAGTTGACAGAAATTCTATCAATGGCGTCCACTTCTTCACCTCGTTCATTGCGTCCGTTTCGAGAGCCTGAAAAGATGCCTTGTTACGATACATTTTGCTGTTTCGTCTAATGTAATATTTTGGAATTTATGTAGAGGTGTATATATAAAATACACATGTACAGCTTGTATATATATGAATATATTTGTAATCTTCTTTTTTTGCTCAAATCAAAGTTTTCTTCTCTGACATTTAAGGCAAATGTATTTGGAGTTGATTCTAACAAAAGAAAGCCGGATTCCCACATCGACTTGCATAATCATCATATTACGATACATTTACATTTATATTAAGCATAATTAATTTGAAATTTCAAATAAACATTCTTAGTTTTGCGTCAGTTTGTTTGCATATTACGTATACGCAGCGTAGCTGCTGTCAAGGTCAGTCGCGTGGCTTGGCTCGCTGCGAAAGCGAAAGCATCTGCCACAAATGGCATTGTGAAGCCGCAGCTCGAAGCTTGGCTTAGTAATAGAAGCTGAGCTTCAGTGAAATTGCAAAATCTTAGAATCGAGAGAACTTTGCGGTGCACAGACCAGAAACTGATTGAAATTTGAGTGATTTTTTTGCCTGTTGCGGTATTTGTATTTTGTTTTTTTGTGTTGTCTGTTTTTTGTTATGGTGCTCGTCTCATGCTCAAGCTCGGCTCTTTTGTGGGCATGCCAAAAAAATTAAAGCACGCTCCACTGATGGTTACCTTGGTGGGCCAACTGCGACTGCGACTGCGACTGAAGCTGTGGCTGCTACGTCAAGTGTCAGCTGCAGGCCCCACTCAACACTCGACAGACGCCAACAAGTGTCCACACACTCTCACACACACACATATTAAGAGAGACAGGCAGACGGACAGAGCAGCACATCGCAGCTCGGATGCTAATCTTCAGAGCGTTTCGATTCACACCGAAAAAACCAAAAAATTATATGAAAATAAAAAAACCTCATCAAACGAGTTGCAGCGTCGCTCCGGCCAACCTGTTGAACCTGTCCCGCTCTCGCACTGAGCGACGCTCGGGCAGCTGCACGCTCTCTCTCTCTCCAGCTCTCTCGTGTTTCTCTGGTGAATTCTGCGTAAGTTGGCGTCCAAGCGCTCCGAATTGGTTAGTTCTTCGCCAGTCGACGGTCAGTTTGGGCGCGCATGCGCACGGGTCTTTAAATCTTGTAACATATAAAACGAAATATATAGATATATACATACATATAGCTGTAGCTATATCTGTACATATATACCTATATCCCAATAATATTTGGCTAGTTATATTTCGATTATTGTGCGCCGTCTTGATTTGAATCTTTTGCCAACTTTCGATTTCGTTTGACGCCAGCTCGCTGACAATACAAAGCGAGAAATAGAGAAAGAAACGCGCATCTTTTAAATACGAGAAAAATTCATATGTTAATTCGGGCTGCTGCTGCAGCAGATTCATAAATTTCGAACGAAAATGCGTTGAAAAGCTACGAAGGCAGCGAAATTTTGTTTTGGTTTTGCTATCTTTACGGAAGTGCAAATTTGCATAACTGGAATTGAAATATTTCAGAAAACATCMAAATCATAAATAAATAAATTTTAATAAAATACATTTTTCAACTGAAGTATTTCAATAAACATATACCATATTTATATAGACGCAGCGAATAACGAAACAGAAAGAATAATCTAAAATTAAAAAACAAGAAACTAAACAAAAACAAATCATGCAACAATCTTTGGCTCTGTCTGTGATAATCGCCCTGCAGCTGCTCAGCTGCAGCGTGGACAGGACATTGGCAACACCGAGCAAAGCATCAGGTCCTGTCGCTGGTACGTTTCATCCATCTGCCAAAGTCTTATAAGTCTACCCGATTGCATAATACTCGCGCGCTGGCACATCCTTCCGGCCCGCGTATATCTGTGCACAATCGACTTTCACTTTCCAAATTTGKCATTTATTTATTTGTGTTTTATTGAAATTTACGCCGAACGTTTAATTAGGGAGCTGTTTACACATTTCTGTTTTCTGTTACTGTTACTGTTTCTGTTTGTATTTGTATTTGCTTTTATTTTTTTGTCGTCGGCTGCTGTCGCGTTGAGTTATTCCATTGATTAATTCGCTTTGCTACAGTTTTCGGTCTATTTATTTATTTCTTTTTTTTTTTTTAAGGTTTGCTTTGAGCAATCAATGAAATTAGTTGAGTGATTTTTGGTATTGTTGTTGTTGCTGTTACACCTGCTTCAGTTTTTTTTTTTTTTTGGTAGGCTGTTGAAATATTTGATTGAACGCATAAATTTGTTTGTCAATGAGCAATGTGGGCGGAACAGAAGGCCAGGGTCAGATGGATAAAATAAATAGAGCAATCAGGCGAATTTATCTAGATTTATGCACAAGTAAACATGCAAAATTGTGTAAAAACGAAGCCAACACTGCGTATGCGTGATATTTGGAAATAAAGTTATTAGAGCTAACAGGGTATACTTGAAGCTAGCAGAAACACTAGCTGATCGAAGACCACATGACATAGATAGATTTGCCAAGCAACAAACATTTTTTGTTTTGTTTTTTTTTTTTTTTTTTTTTGGTTTTTTTTTGTGTATTTCGGAATTAGTTAAACCTGTTGTGTGGCTCGATGCATATGAAAACTCCAAGCAGATTTGCAATCTTGACAACTAATCAAATGTTTTTTTTAAAGCAAGTCAAAATGGATAAAAAAAGAAGAGTTTTATTGATAGTTTTTCGTTTTTTTTAGCTGTCAGCAAGCTATGTTCTAGCAAAAAAAAAAAAAAAAAGCTTAAATATGCAGAGTGGAAACATAAAATTGTCGTTGATATCATAGAAATATATAAAAAAAAAAAACGAAAATTAAAATTAACACTTAACGATTCCATTGTTTATAATTTTGAATAACCACAACAAAAGGAAATATATTTACTGTACAGGAAGTTGCTCAGCCAGAGTCACTTGAATTTCCATTAAGTGCTAAGCAATGTTAAGTGCTCAGGATATGTTTTAAAGAATTCCCTTAATTCCCTTAATATCTTACGCAACGTCACAGATATCCGCCTGACCTTGCCCAACTCACTCTTAATTGGATTCGAATTCTCTGAAGGAAATTCGTATATTTATTGTAAGCATTGGCATTGACTTTGACTGCCGTTGCCGGTGCCACGCCCTCCCTACGAGCTGCACGAAACTGAGCTGAAAATTGAAACTGGTTTACCTGTCAGCAGGCAAATTAATTGCCTGCCAAAGAAACTGCCATAACAGCGCATGAATAATAAACCATAAAATCTATACTAAATATTGACTTTATTTATTAATAAGCAACGGTAATTTTATAGCCAAACTTTTGTCTTCAAACACAAGTAAATTAAGTTTGACTGCAAACCTCACCAATTTGCACCTTTGATTCGCTCTCTGTCTCGTGTGATCCTCAGCTTTATGCAGCTCGCAGACCGGTTAATCTCTATGGGCACTTGACTTGACACAGCCAATTAACAATCCGTGTTCAATGCGATGATGCAATGCAATGGAAAGTTTTCTTTTTTTTTTTTCTTAAATTGAAATTGAAATGGGCATAAAATTGCGAGCAGCTTCTTGAGTTTTGGAGTGACCGGAAGTACTGGGCTATCATGTACTTATGCTGTATCATGTCTTTGTTATTTCAGAATGATCAGCTTACACATGATTTCTTGATATATAAAATATTATTATTTTATTCTTATTTAATGAGTATTTATTCAAATTAACAGCAAGTCTTCCCTAGTCAGCTTAGTCCAACTTCATGCTCAACTTCATTCATATTTGACAACTTTATCTTTTACTCTATATGAAGCAGTTTCTTCTCTTATTTGGCATGCCAAAGACATTGCTCATACGCCACGGCTTCCCTAGACATGCGTCACAGTTCAACTTCTGACATTATTTGACTGCATTTTCGACCCACATTTCGCTAGAGCAGCTCACAGCCTTATTCCAAGCTGTCTAATGAAAACATTAACCTATTCAGTCACATCTTAAAGTTAGCCTTACTTCTGTGTACTTCATACTCATTTAGCTCTAACTACACCATTTAATGCAAATAGCAACATTTCGGAGCTCATTAAAAACGTCAATTGCAACATTTTCATATTAAAGTAAATTTTATGTACACTTATTTTATTTTTATTATAAATATGTATATATGTAAAATTCTCATTCATTCATTGTAAATGTTTGTAAACAGTTCACAGGCAGCCGAATTACATATTCCATTATTCAACTCTATAATTATCATTAGTGACGCCTTCTGCAGGGCCTTGACTCGTAATGGCAGCCATTGCGGATGATTAATTAACCAAATTTCGCGAAAATGTTTGCTGCCTGCCATATTTGGGTGCCGTGTTTATTGTCTTTTGTTAAGCTTGGCTATGACAGCAAAAGAAATAAAATAAAGTAGAAACACAAATGCCGTTAGCTTGGCTTCACACATAATACATACCCATATACATCATTGTGACCTTCACATAGTCAGAATCTATTGTGAGCTGTCGTTGACCTTGATTTAGTTTCGATTTCATTTATAGATCCCGCCAGCCCATCAAAGCCATTGTCAAACATTCTCAGCGCTAGCTTATGCTGCTCATGAACAGGTTCAACTCGTTGGGCAGTGAGCGAACCAGTTCCAATTTACACTGTTTTCAATCAAAAAATATGCTATCATAATTCAATATGTGGCGAAATGTGAGTACGCAATTAGCTGAAAGGTTTTATCTGTTCAGAACTGGAGATTTGCTTGTTTTATGACCAAATTCAATGCGAATGACAATGTTTATAATTTTTTGATTGAACGATTGATTAATTGGCTTGGGGAGTAAGTTGGCTGAGTTGAGGTGTGGTGCCTAAACGAAAATATTCACAATAAGCACTCGAGGTATGCGCAATTTGTCCATTTTTATGTAACATGCCAAACTTGATTGATGGATCTTGATTAGAATCAGCAGACGATTTGAATTTATAGCTGTTCTGGTTACCTGCTATACGTCTCTATACGTGCATTCATTTAATCTATCTATATTCTTATACATTCTAGAGGAAACCAGTAGCTCGAGTATCTGTCAGGTGTGCCTCAGGTATCTCAAGTTTCTTCTCATGATTAAAATACACACGATTTGTAATTTCAGTGAATCAGTTAGGTTTATAGATTTTTGATTATATCTGGCTTAACTGGGCTGATTGGTATTCATTAGCTGGAATCGTCTTGGCTCGTAACTTGTATAATTTAAAATCGCTTATTTTTTTTATAACTGTTTATTCAATTTTATTGCTGATATTGTTTTTCGACCTTGATATTTCGATGCCTGTTTTACAGAAAGAAACCAAAAAAAAAAAAAAAAAAAAGTAAAAAAGATCATCTGTTGTTTTGAGATATTTTCATTACTGATATGCTTCCTTGATTTCTATTTTTAGACTGCCCCAACTGCGTGGACGAGTCGCAGTACACGCCAAACAAATGGACGATGCCGCTGCTGAAGCTGGGCGAGAAGCGCTACTACCTGGGCATCTTCTTCAAGGTAAGCAACATTCCGAGCTGCAACTGTGCAACGGTTCAACGGTCTGCAGTCCGGTTCATATTTTGCCATTAAATTAGCATCTGCCTTCGCAAATATGCATAAGAAGCTTGCAACAGACAAAGCTGACATACATACATATATACAAATATGCATACATGTACATACATATACATATATATAAGCAAGTACAGGCATGCGGTAATCCGAGATCTCTCTCAGGCTTTGTCACACCTCTGCCCTTTCGAGGCAACTGGCTTGTTATCATTGATGCTTAGCCTCAGAACTGATATCAGGGCCACATTGGCTCGATCATCAACTAGATATTAACTAAATAGATGGCCCTGATGTATCGATCGGCAGATGACTGGCCTGGGCAGGCATCGTCTTTGTCAGTCTATGACGAAGTTGTGTGTATCAAATTATATTTATATAATTTATGCACCCATTCATATTATAAACATATTAGTAGAGCGCATAAAAAACGCGCCCAAAACGCGTGCGTTTTTAGCGCGAATCGTAACGGGTTTTTGTTGCTTTTTGTTGTTGTTGTCTTTATTTGTTATTGATTAGTAGTAGTGGAGTAGAGACGAGTATGCAAATGTCTAGCAACGGTTGTGCATTCAAACAAACGCAATAAATTGTCAGCGCTAACCATGTATAAAGAGGAAATTTCCTTGAACTTTAGGCCACGCCAAGCAGCCACTGAAATCTCGGTTTGTAAATCAGGCAAGCAAATCAAATTAAGCGTTAGACAAAAGATGATGATTGAGATTTGAGGAGGAAGCTGCCTCTGTTTGTCACAGTCAGCCGGCGACCGTTATAAATGACACGCAAAGGTCACAGCCAGCTGGGAGCAATGGATTGGGTCAAACGTTTCTGTTCACATGCAGCGAAAAGGAATTTCGAATCAAAGATCTTCGAATTGTAGAGCGCGAGCCATTAATTTTGCTTTGGAATTAGCAATTTGTTTAGAGTAAAGCGTTCGGCTATAATTGCCAAGCGATTAATTAACGGCATAGTTAAAACGGAATTCGAGCTAAAAGCAGAAGTGATCTAAGCTCTTTATATGGTATATTTGCAATTAATCAGCATTGCTTAAACGAGTTCAAACTTTGAAGCTTCTCAATTTAAACGATATCTATTAAATCGGCAGAGCTTTACTTGTATATATTTATACATGTGTATATACTGTACATAAATATATTAGTGCAGGCAACAACAACAAGAAAAGTAATTAACTTTTGTTGTACACATTGTTTTATGATGACTTTGGCAAACAGATAGGCACAAAAAGGGGGCGGGGCGGGTGCGATTCATTGACAAATAAAACGTTCCTCTATTGTGCGCATGCCGACAGTTAGATTGTGAATTGTATTCATTATTCGTACATTAATTAAGAGCAGGTGCGACAGCTGATTAGATGGCGTTGCACAGAATTGCCAACAACATGTCGCCCCCGACGCCTTTAATTAAGTTTCGAAATTCCGATCGACAGAGAACATTCACCTTATGAAACGTGCGCTAAATAACAGCAACAACAACAACTACAACAACAACAACAACAACAGCAGCAGCAGCAGCAATCGCAAAAACTTCTTCAGAAATGCTATGAACTGAGTTGTTTATGGCTCCCAAATCCCAATTAAGAATCGCTGTAAATCTCATGCATAATTTAACATATTTAACTTAGTTTTTTTTTTTTTCTTCCTCTTCTGCTGCTCTTGCGTATTACGCAATGGCACGCTGCCTAAAAAAAAAAAAAAAAGAAACAAATTAAAATTAATTTGCCTGCGGCACGAACGAACGAGCGAACAGTCCAAGAAAACATCAGATGGCAGCCGGCCACTGGCCAATCAGCCAATGGATTTGGACTTGGTCGGTGTCTGCTTTTTTAATGCGACACTAATTGCAGTTGATTATGAGGGGAGGCGGGTGGGCGTGGTGTGCTATTAAGCAACGACTCTATCAATGCATGAATTCGACATGTTAATGACAATTACCAACACAGTGTCAAACATTTTGTTGCCATCTAATTGAATCGAGCTGCCAATTGACTTGAATGTGAAACAAGAACAGTCAACAAATGAATATATATATAAATATATACATATTTTTTTAGAATTACTGTATTGAGTAGTTTCTGCAATATTAACATAACAGTTTAACTGTGAGTCCAAGTCAGCTCCTTTAGTGGCTTTAACTCCTGCCATGTCTGACTGGGTAATCTAACCCGTTTTTGTCGCTTTAACCTGTACATGTGTAAGAAGAAGGCTTAAGCTGTTATTAAATTAACTTTATGTGATGCGATATAAGATTTGATATTTGGCAATTTCCACTTAGCCAGTGTGGAAAATAAATGAAAATCATTTATTGAACACTTTTATTCGTTACTCATAATCAGCTTAAAAAGTAATTTACTTTTATGTAGGCAGTGCTTAAGTGCTTCACTTTTGCTTAACGATTTCACACGCCCATTGGCTTAGGCAACACTTTGATAGTCAGTTTCGGTTTCATTATCCATGTTATGTCCCCCAGCTGATTTCCAAAGGTATTCATTATAAATAAGCTGACATGAACGTCATCTTAGATTCGCTTGTTTTGTGTCGGATGTTTTGCAATAAATATCCACACACTTACTCTCTCTCACTCACTCATTCTTTCTCACTCTCACTCTCACTCTCTGTGTAGTTTACATAATTACATAATACCCATCGAACTCGAGCAAACATTCAATCATTCTGCTCCAATCCTTTCATGCAATTGCTGCTAGCCGCATGTGGCACATGTCACACACACACACATACACACACATACACACACATGCAAGCTTAACAATTCACATTCGATTGCATGACTGATCCAGATCTTAAGCGCTGTGTCAGCTGCCACAGTCAGAGCTACCTCACGCTGCACACTGCCGCCTGCTGCATGCCGCCTGCTGCATGCCGCTTTGGCATCTCACCTGGCTGCAACGAGCGTCAATAAAAGTCGTCAACATTTTATGTGTCATTTCTGTTGTTGTCTTCCTTTTGCATTATTTAACAGGCAGCGCGCGCTTGCAGCAAGGCTGCCGGGCAGCTGGCAGCTGGCAGGAGGCGGCTGGCAGGGCTCAGCAGTTATGGCAACCGCCCACGCAACGACAGCCAATTAGAGACGACGTTGATGTGGCCAAAAACTGTTGATGATAGTCATCGGACGTGGCAAACTCTACTTTAGCTCTGCCATATCCT